AGGCTGAGAAGAAATGAAACGATAGCCTCAGCCACATCCCCAAAAATCTCAACTATGTAGATGTGATCAGGGTGACATTTGTGGATGTTGTGGATGTTGCGGGGGGGGGAGGAAATGTGGCATGACTTTTACAAGTGAAGCATTATTGCCCCATATTGCCTTCCTCTAACAGCCCCCTCTATGATTTTACCTTTTATTATCTTGAAAGTGAGACCTGTGAAAACGTGCTGAACTGAATGTGTGGATTAAAACTGCTGCCCAGAGTTTGTTCTCAGCAGTTTGTCCAGTCTGTTAAATGATAATATTTATACTAAAACACACATTCTCTCATTCCCTCAAATATTTTTGGTTAAGATAACGACATGGTCACTGGATTACAATACCTCAAGGGAAGCCACAGTAGCTGCTGGATTCTTTGAGATTTCACGATAAAAAGAAAACAGAAGGAAGGAGGAAAAAAAAGTTAACTTTCCTGTACACAATATGTATAGATATTTATATCCATATGTATATATTTATATATAGGCGGGGTAGAGTATTGCAGAATTATATTGCATGTGTCAATTAATAAACCTAGACGAAAAACAAGCGAGTATACAGTATGACTGGTTCACAAATGCTTCTTTTGATAAAGCTCAGGTAATTTATCACATTTATCACGCCCTCGGAGTTACAACCGGCACGTTGACCACACAGCAGACCGACTCCCAGATGTTCCACGGAAACGGGTTGGTCACACGAGCCACAGCAGTGTGCAGATCATGTGACTCCATTCTCTGAAAACAGAACCAAGACGCGCCGAGAAACTCACGCACACAAACGTACGGCCACATACACATTTACGCGCACACAAACCAAATATATGGCTTCTAACGTTGAATCAAGGCAGTTAAATAAATGGCATTTTCTTCTATGTTTCTTTTTTTAGTTGATACAGACACAACCAGACTTTGTGTTCAAGCTCAACTTTGGTTTGGGTAGATACAATGAGTATAATATCCTTCCACGCGTTTCCATCAACTATGTACACGTCCATGTGTGATCGACCAGCTGTCTGAAACACTATTTTCACTACCGTTTTTTAAATAATATGAAGAGCGCGTGTGTTCTTTTGCTACAACAGCTTATACAGAAATAAAAATCACACTCAAAACACTTTTGATCGCCTAAAATGTCATTGTCGTTTGACCTCAAGTCCCTGATTTTCATTTTTAAGTCCAGCTCCTGCTAGATTGCATTGCATGGATTCTACACAGTATGTAATAGTTACAATAATCTTAACTTTACAGCAAAGACAACAATATACAGTAGGTGTTTGGAAGCAAAGTGTTTGGGGTGATACTAAGACTAAAGGTGCTGGTTCAGCTGACCAGACCAGTTCAACCTTAACCTACACACGTCTCACTGTTTACACTCTGACTCTCCAGGGTCTCACCAGTCTCTGAGTTGCTGTTTTCCTTCTGCTGATGTCACCACACATGACCAGTGGTGAGAACGGTAGCTGATTGGTCATTTAGCAGGCTGCTAGAACCGCCGGACTAACCATGATCAAACAGGTTCACCTACAAAAAAGGCCTCTTTCCTGAACTCTACCAGGGTCACAAGTTGGAAGACAGCCGGGATCTGGCAGAGTCTAGCTCTGGAAGGCTGACAATTGAATCTTTCTTCGGCACTCCAGAGTCTGAAGTCCCTGTTCCGGCAGCAGCTGATGCCGCTGCAGGTCCACCAGGAGGTGGCGTGGAGGCAAAGGCCACCCTCTGTTGAGCTCCAGCTGATCTCCCTACCCCTGAGGAGCCCGGCAGGCCTGGGTGAGTGGGCTGAGGGGGGCCGATAGAGGTGTTGGATGTGCGTGTGGAGGGCGGAGGGCTTGGTGCTGCTGGGACAGCTGGTGGTGTTCCTTCCTGGGGAAGTGAAGGCTGGGAGGCAGACAGGGCTCTGGTATCCTGGCTCAAGCTGCCTGTGTGAAGGGAGTGGGTGCTTTTGTGTGAGGCAGGCCTCTGCTGGGTCTGTGTAGGGCTGGGTGCATGGTGCTGTACTAAGGACAACTGAGAACCAGAGGGCCCTGCACTGGCCATGTACTGAAAAGTCCGTCCTGAAGTTGCAAGTGGGCTTTGGACTGGAGGGCTGGAGATTGCTGAACCAAACGCCCCTCCAAACGCCTGAGGCGGTTGGGACTGGAGAGGAGACATCGAGACCGGACTGGACAAGTTCTGTATTACCTGAAACCTTCGCACCATACGTGGAGACTGCAAAGTACTTGGACCCACCAGTGGACTTGCCATCTGAGGACAGAAGCTCATGGCTACAGCTTGCTGCAGGGTGGCAATAGCAGAGCCTGTTGGCGGCTGACCAGTGCCAAACATCCCACCCATGGACGGGGTCATGGACATGGCCCTCGGCCGCTGCAGGTCCACCAGCTTCACCATTTCCCGATCATACTTGACGATCTCCTGGATCATCTCATTCTCCTGGTTGTTGAAGACCCCCGAGTTAAGGTCGTGCTGAACCTTGTGCTGGAGGATGGAGTTCTTTTTACCTGCAGGTACAAACAAATGTATGTACTTATTACTGCAAAGCTGCAAAATGAAAGGACGCAACAATGACAGAAAAAAAAGGTAAAACAAAGCACAGAGATGCATAGAGAAATAAAATGTTTAAAAAATCATGAGGTAGTTATAACATGCATCGTCATCAAGACAACGGACATGGTCCAGCAGAACAAGCCTGGAGGAGAGGATGTGTCACTTTGTACTCTTATCTAGTGTCACAGTGTCCGGTGTTTGTCTGAGGAAACTGCAGAGTTAATTTCACTGCATACTTTATCATCAGCAAGAGAACGAGTTTACTGTGTAGCAGTGTAGGGAGGTTTCCCCTTTAAATGACAGGTTGGCTTTAATCTTCCATCTACTTCATACACACACTAGGACATTTATTTATTTACTCGTTTCCCTTTTTACCTATTCGATCCAATCGGTCAATGGCTACCGTCTCGAAGGCTCGTCTCATCATAGGGTATTCCTCCAGCACCTCATTAAAGTGGTCGACAGACAGTGAATAGAGTCGACAGTAAGTCTCAGCTCGCACGCTGGCTGTTCGCCGACCCCTCGTCAATAAACAGATTTCTGAAGAAGAGAGAAAAAAAAGAAGCACAACAGCGTCAAGAATCTTTTAAATATCAAAGGACAAAACATGCAGTTGACTTCCAAACTTCGTTGAGTCCTCACCTCCGAAATAAGAACCATCAGACAGTTTCATTGCCAGAGTTCCCTTGGTGATGACACTGCAGACCCCGTGCTGGATGAAGTACATCTTCTTTCCGATCGTTCCCTCTCTTATGATGTAATCGTGCGGCTGAAACACCTCGAAGCGGAGCTTGGTCAACATGGCTGTCACAAAGTTGGGCTCAGCGTTTGCGAATAATGGCATGGACGCCACCAGCTTACGGCAGTTGAAGTTGACGATTTCCTGAAAGAAGTATGAGATGCATTTGTCGATGTGACAAAACGAAGAGAAGACAAAGTGGAAAACTATTCACTCACATAGCAGTACTTTTAAAATGAAGTGAGCTATTAAAGTGTTTAATCATCGCCCAGCACTATAAATTAGTCAGTTAGACATTCATCACTCATTTAAACGTAACCAGACAAGTAGAGGACAGCCAATAAAGTTGTGTGGCAAAAGGAACAGTACTGCAAAGTCACTTTCTAGATGAACGGAAAAAGGAAAACAGCAAAGGATATGAAAAAAAAGGTGAAATGGAAATTTTTAAGAAAGGTCAAATAATAAAAAAAAAGCTTTACTATGGAAATAAATCATAAGAATTTGACTAAAGAACAATAATGAAAGGTTAGTGGAAAAGTTCAACTAAATTTGTGTTTTATATCACCATCAGTGGGTGTGTGGGAGGAGGGGGTCCGAGGGAGTGGGCAGGACTTAAATAGCTGTAGACCTGGGTCAAAATGATCCAGTCAAGTCTCTGAAATAATCAATAGCTGTAAATATTGTCAATACTGATACACTCTGCAGTGTCAGCTCGTTGGTTGTTGTAGCTAAACAGAAGCTTCTGTGAGGGTGGAGGAACTGTTGAACAAACCCGATGGCATTAAAGGTCTTGTTGTGTTGTGTTGGGTTTTACCTCTCTGAGGGGCTCACTGAGTTCTCCCAGAATGCTCTCCTCGTCAAACATCTTGCCCTGGTACCTGTGCTCGTAATAGTCATGGATTTTCTGTCTGAAGTCAGCGGGCAGCTTGTGGAAGGACATGTACTGCTCCACTTGTTTGTACTGAGAGGAGGTGGAAGAGACAGAGATAATGTTTTAATAAGACATAAACAGAACCACACACACTGATCGTTACTGTTAGTTAGTTAAGTGTGACACAGGCCACACCAGGGTCTGTGTAAAGAACTGGATGATTCTCCTTTAAATCTGACATGTTGACCTATTGACCTTGAGCAAATGTCCAGTTTTGTCTTTTTTTATCACCTCTTAATTAATCGGAAAGAACAAAAATGCAATTATATTTAATTGACAATTAACAAAATAATTACTTATTGACACCACAAAACATTTAGGGAAGCTGTCAAATATCAAGTAAGAACATATACATCCACTTCCTGTTTGCTTAAGCACTTACAAAGTACGTGTAAAATATGTCATAATACAAACAACATTTTTTCAGTAAAAATTAAAGGCAAAGTCATTTTTCAAAGCCTGTAATTAATCCAAAAATTTGGTTAAAAACAAAGTTCTTTGTGTCATGTTATTTATAATTTAGCAGCAGCTCTACAGACTGTACTGTCACTGTCACATTTGAGTTTATATCATTGTTTAATCCCATGAACTGCCGGTGAAATTACAAACAGCCACACACACTGGTGCGGGCTTACACCCCCCAGCTGTCAGCTGGGATCAACACGCGCTTCTGTGATCAGCACCGGGAGACGCTCGATGTCTGATCAATAGGGAGTGAAGGACCCATGGCAACGACACAAACAATCAGCTCCTTTTGTCATAATATGCTAATCACCATCTAGCCAAAGTGACCAGTGACAGAGCGAGGCCTACATGGCCAGGCTGTGGCGAGTGGAAGTGATAGATGTGGCGGTAAACACAACAGGCAGTAAAGTGTTGACAGAAGAGATTTCTGCTCCTTTCTCGCTGGCTGACTGTTCACTTCAGGCCCTGCTCAGATGGAGAGCTCAGTGAGACGACTGTGTGACCTTGCACCTGTATAAAGATGTTCCAAACACAATTCTGAGCGCCGATGTGACAGCCTCCGTCACACACTCTGTGCTGACGGCTTTCCCGGGCAGGAACACGCCTTTTATCCCATCAGTTCCAGACTCAATTATGTGGTAAAGGAGCAGTTCATATGCTGTCAGCTGGTAACAAGTGACACTTAATGACACTGGCGTTCTTTCATCTGTGCATTCCTTTATTCATTATTTAGGTTGGTAATTATTAAATTGAATAATTTATTGGCTAATAGGAGGCAGTTCACCATTGACACTTACATTCATCAGTCACCCTAATGTCCAATTAGTGTGTTTTATGCTATCAGATTATCTGGAGGAAACCCACTTCCACACAGACAGGCTAATGCTAACGCCTCACAAAAACACCATCTGCCCAAGCTGGCAAACAAACTGTTGGCCTTCTCACCGTAAGGCAACAAGGCTAACGACTGTTCCACTTCTCACCCAGTCGGACAACAGGTACCATACATTACCATACAAGCAGTTGTTTTAGCATTAAATTGAATGTATAGACGACAGCCTCCATGTTGTAAATATAGACAATATTGACATCCGAGGGGAAAAAGAGGGTCGTTTTTTGTTGTTGTTGTTGTTGTTGTTGTTGTTGTTGTTCTCACTGGATTCGAAGGCAAAGAGCAGCCACTGGTATATTTAGTTTTTACAGCACAGAGATTGTATTGCACAGTGACACTCTGCATCTTCCTGGATGGGGAACTCTCCTGTGACTGGGATATACAACACCAGCGTGACTTACTCTGCCTTCTGACATCTGCAGATGGAGAGTGGCCCGGAGTAATGACCCCGTGTCGCCACTCTTTACCAGACGCGTCATAACACTGCAGCCGCTGAGCCTCCTGCAGGATAGGAGAGCTGATTGGGAATAAAGTGAAGGTGCTTCCACGGGAGGGGACATTCTCACAGTCCCTCCAGAGAGGAGAGAGAGGAGAGAGAGGAGAGAGAGCAGCCGGGGTTTTTACACCAAAGTCATTCCAGCAACCGTGGCTTGACAGTGTCTTAATAAATGAGGCAGGGCAGACCGATCTGGCTGGACTTTTAGAGAGTGACATTTAATGACTGGAGTCAAATGGCAATATACTGTATGTCACACTGGGCTGCATCATTTATTGTCCCGCTGTCCTGAAGACTCCCCAGACGGGAGAGAGCGTGTGTGTGACTGTGGCATCACATCGGAGCAGAGACGGTTGACACACACCCACGGGAGTAAATTTGACCTCAGTGACATTGTGTGTGTAGCTTTGTTAGCTTTGTTAGCTTTGATAACCAGCTTTGACTTAGTCCTGTCTTTGTCTTGGACAACTGCTAACTTTAGTTACAGTTTGTTGCAAAATTATTTTAAAAAAGATGAAAGCTTAAAACGTAGGATTTTTCACCCTTTGTCCAGGCTTTGTTAGTCCTGTTTCTCTCCCCTCCTGTCCTCTATCCTTTTTCTTTAACCCTCTTCTGTCTTCTTGTCTTCCCTCTTCTCATTTTATCTCTCCTTTCTTCTTCGCTGCCAGCCTCTCCCTCTTTGTCGTCTGATTTCTGTCTGCTATCCTCTCCACTTCTACCTTCTACTTTTCTGTTCTCTCCTTACCCCTCCATTCTTTTCTTTGTGTCTACCATCCAGCTCTCTCCCTCCTCTGCTCTCCGTCTTGCTCCTCAGCAGTGTTCATTTTTTCTTTCTGATCCCACCCTCTCCTCTTCTATCCTCTGTGACTGTGACCGTATGTGATTATCTGCAGTTTAAAAGGCGAAAACACTTTTTCTCTTTATGTCATTTATTTCCCTCGGCTGTAAATTCTGATCCAGGTTCATGTGGATGTATAATTCATCCAGTTCCTTCCTGGCTAAATCGCCTCATTACATTAGAGAGCACATTCACCAAAGAGAAGGAAATCAGATAGTAGCAAGTCAGAGCTTGTCTTCTTTGTCTCTAAAGGTAAGATGTGTTCAGAGGGAGGAACAACACACTGTGGGTTTCAAACAGTACAAAGACCCATTAAATGTAATGAGGCTGCTGAGGAATCACAAGAAAAACCTCTTATTCAGACAAGGGCGAGCGGATGATAAGGATTTGTGCATCACTTTTATTGAGAGCAGAGAAAAGCATTCGGTTGAACTGGCGCTGGTTTGGTGCTGATGTAAATCAACAGGTTTCTCTTAGACGGCTGCGTTTGCAAAGTCTGTCTGGATTCTCTGGACAGTTGATGACCAGCAGTCTGGTTCAGGAAAAACCAACTCATCTCTTCAGCTCTGAACTGCAGCAGCAGCACCAAGACAGGGAGCAGGCAGCAGAGGAGTCAAAAGCCATGTTGTACTTTGTGCTACATCATGTCAGACTGCTGTCTGCTCTCTGTCTCCGTGTGACTACGAGAAACAGAAGCTGATTCAGTTCCGAGCCTCCTGTGAGGCCATTAAGAGCAAATTATAGATGCAAAACGTGTAGAGGTGTAGAATTACGTCTGGCGTCTCAAAGGCACGAGCCACGCTCTGAAGAGGGAGAGTGAAAATACTAATCATTATTTCAGACTTGAGCTGTGTTGTGGTTTTAATTTGTTAAACAGATATGTGGGATTTATTATAATTATGCACCTGACTTTCATTTGACTGTTTTGACCTTCAGTTTCATGCTATTCACAAGGTAAATGAGAAGTTTTACTATTGACTTTCAGGTCTTTTTAATATATTCATAGTTTTGACCTGGACCACAAATCTGTGAATTACTTATCAATTATTTAAAGATTAGGTCTAAGACTAAGAAAAAGTGAAAAGGTTCTTGAAAAATATTCACATATTTTAAAACCTCTTAATATTTTTATGAGCCTTAATAAATTACATTTGCTGTTCAAACAAAGTCATTTGTTATGCACCAAGTTAATTTTAAAAATGCGCTGTACTTTCTATACCACTTCATTAAAGCCTTTAGTGTCACAGAAGAGACACGGAGCCCTGGGGTATTTTATTGTTGTTGAATCAGGCCTCTTGACAAAGGGATGTGGGCTGAGACGGTGCTCTGCACCTCTTATTAAAACCCTCTGTGTAAGATGGCACAATCTCACGCAATCTGGGAAATGTCAAGTAAGCACATTACATATGTGCACAACAGCTCTACATCCTACTGTTAGACTGTAATTACAAATAGCTGAGCCCGGGGAACGATGTTCACTTCCGCCTTCCAGAATATATCAGGTATTTTTGACAGTCGTGACTCGTCTACCTACAGACTGCTGTGTAAAAATATCCTTGTGGCCTCCATTTGTACAACTTTGGAACTCGATTTGCCAGTGGTGTATAAAATGTATAAGGAGACCAGCTGAAATACGACAAAAAATGTGAAAAAATAATTATAGTTGTCTTGTATCTGAAGAAGTGCTTTTATGGTCAGGAAACACACGTTTCTAGTCAATTATAATTCCAATTCCCTGCTTGATTTTTCTTACTTCAAGTGACAACAAGTGGCATGGCAACAAGTGACATAAGTGAAGTTGCATCTTTTTCTTTTTTTTCCCACTGCAGTGTCTCACTTGTCTAAAAACTAATGTGTAAAAATAGCTCCTGGATCACTGCAGCAACCACGTTCTCCCTCAACTCAACCTGCATGGGTTTGGAATGTGACATCACCGCTGTGCTGAAATTGAAACGTCCACACAATGTTAGCTCAAGCTTCTCAGGGGCAGAAAGGCCTCCCGTCGCCTTTTTACTGGGGTGTAGTAAAATCACCGAGCAGCGGCAGCATCACTCACCAGCAGTCTGCTGGTGAGTGATGACTGGCACTTTTCTGCTTAGCAGTTGCTTTGAATGTGCACATCTTCAGCTCAAATACTAATCCCTGCGGCGCCAGGGCAAAAAGAAAATGGGTCTTGGGAGTTGTATATATGTGTACATGTATATACAGTATAAATGACATATTTTGTTAGTGTGTGTTCGGAGTTTTTGTAGAGCAGAGTCGGGGATATTTAGAATGAGGCGTAAATACAATCGTTCATCAGAGACAACAAGCAGAACGCTTCTCTTTAGCCCTTTAAATTCAGGGCACACGGTAAAGGAGACAGAGCACCAGACTCAGAACACAACTTGCTGAATCGTCGTCTCCTAAACCCTGCGTTGGATGTGATTTATGCCAAGAGCTTAACAACGAGGCGGATAAAAAAAAGAGAAAAAAACGTCTTTAAAGTTCCACACAACTTCGTCCCGACTGAAGCACTACAAGTGGGGTGGAACGCAGCATTTGAATGTCTCACACGGAACTAGGACTTGGAGTGGACAAGAAGGCCATTCTGTCTCCCACAGGTTCCCTCCCCCCCCCACTCTGTTCCCTTTAGCAGCCGGTTAGCAGCAACGCTCTACCTTTCAAGGACATCATCACCACTAACAGACAGAGTGTGGAGGGAGGAGAGGAGAAGAACGAGGGATGAACGGAGACGCGTGTGAGATCAAGACAAGAGGGAGGAAATCTGATGGAGATGTTGGAGAGAAGAGAGGGGGGAAACAGAGGGAGAGTTAAAGAGATGATTCAGAGTGCAGGTAGACTGAGAGGCAGTGAGTGAGTGGTAGAGAGGAAGAGAGGGAGGCAGCCATGCTTGTTGCTTACGTCACCTTCAGGATGACATTGGCAGGACTCACAGGTCTGCTGCCTCATCAATTCTCCTGCTGCCCTCGGGGACACGGCATCAGTCTCTCTCTTTGTCTCTCTCTCTCTCTCCCTCTCTTTCACTCTCTACAATGTCCAGTGCCTGGCAACGTCCGTAGCTCTACCTGGCCGAACACACCCAGAGCGTCTGATTGGCCGCTGAAAGCCGGCAACCCTCCCCCTGCTCCCCAGCCAGAGAGACTCTGCTTGGAAACAGAGGCTGCACTGCTCCCACCACAGACCACTGCTGCAGCAACGCTCTGATCCCCGGCTCTGATAACAGATGTCTCCGAAAAAAAACCAAAAAAAAACAACATCTTATGACAACTTTACAGCACCGTGTGTTGCCCACGCAGCTGCATTTTTACCCCGTGACAAATTCAGGATTTTTAATTCACTCCAATCCTGTGTCGTAGGTTGATGAAGATATTCTGTTTTATCAGCAGCGAATGTTTAATTATGTCAAACCAGCAGCAGGGCCTTGATGAGGCAAGACAATCAAAGAGTAAAAGAATGCACTGTTGTTAATGAGCACCAACATTGTTTTGGGCCCGTGGGACTAATCAGTTCCACAACAGCACTGTGGAGTTTCACACCAAGGTTAAGCACATTCTTAAAGTCTCAAAAATATTTTCAGAAAATAATTGTAACAAATCTTTTGTTCACGTATTGACGATATTTTTGACTGACTTTGTGGCCAGCTCTAAAATGATTGACTTATCTACTGACTAACTCGCTGACTGACAGACTTACTTTTACATACTCACTTTTTGCCTGGCTTACTGACTGACTGACTGACTGACTGACTTATTGCTCAGTGACTAACTTACATTAATATCTCCTGACCTAATCATGTATTGTCTTTCTCACTGACTGACTGTATTTTTTATGACTTTCATAATTTTTTAACCTACTGGCTAATTGGCTGTCTTACTGAGTCACTCATCAACTATGTCAAACTAACTCACTGTTGGATTAATGAACAATGTCATGTAATGTAATTGTAGTATCTAATGTAATGTAGACACTTTATTTTAACTGACAAATCAGCTAACCAGTTCCCACCTAGGACTGAGCGGTGTCCTAGGTGTGAACAGCATTACTTGGTCACCTACAGACTGACCTACTTTCTTGGTTAATATTTCAATGTCAGTTACTCAGTAACTGCCACGTCTGTTATTTAAACACTGCGGTGTCTCACCTTCTCCTGGTACTGCCGCCTAGAGGAGTCCAGGGACTGGATCAGAGCTGTTGCATGGCCGATGAAAACGGCGTAGCAAGTAGCTCCGACAATCATACTCAGCATGGTCAGCCAGATGTCTGACAGACTCTCCGGGGCTTGTCGACCGTAACCGATGCACAGCATGTGGCTCATGGCCTTAAACACGGCGAAGGAGTACAGCTCTGACCAGGTGTCGTTCTGTGGAGACACACAAAGTTTAAAACACATTAAAATGACAGTTTTTTCGAAGGTGTTCTGAAGAGCAGAGAGCAGACACCCAGGGGACGGCGGGGGTCAGAGAACAACACTTAAACAAATGAGAACACTGGGGACAAGGGTGTACTAAAGGGGAAGAGGAAGGAAGTGGGAAAGACGTCAGGAGGCTCCTCGGAGGCCTAATCAACAGAGTAGAGGGTTTGGAAATTATTTCCTCAGAGTGGGATGATAATGAGAAGTTAATGAATATGTTCTTTCAGAGCTGGCTGAGGATGGAACTGTATTACAGGTGGTGACAGCTGGACTGTCAATACACACAGCTGCCTGTGTGGAAATCCATGAGCGGCAGAACAGAAACATCAAGGAGAATTCATCATGTACTGGCTCAACCAACCCTGTGATGTGTGGGACTTCAAAAAGATCACAGAATAAATACCAACAATTCATTAGTTGGTAAAAGTGAGGAGTCACGGCTACATCATAACACCATGTGACTCTCAGCCAGTGTGTCATGGTCTATGAAGTACTACGTCGGGAACCACACGGAGAGGAGGAGAGGAACTACTGTGTCATGAATAGAGATTAATGTAGGTCCAAAAATAAATACAGCTCCACCAAGTGGACTTAGGATAAATGGTGTGTGAGAAAACAGAAAGAAAACAGTGGAGTGAAACAGACTCAATAATAGATGAATGTGGAGCACTTCTGAAATAGTACAGGCAGGAAAAAAGACAGAGAGAGGAAGAGAGACTGGGGTTTTCATAGTGGAAACGATCATTTGCGTTGTTGATCACTGACTCCATCATCAAGAGACACCATGTTAGACGTTGACTGATGATGCACCGTCTCTCATTTAAAAGTTATGTGGCAACTTTTCATCAGAAAATGTTTCCTAAACCGTGATTATGGGCCCTTTTTATCACACTCTAAGGTGGTGTGTGAAGAGTGTGTGTGGCTTCATGTTAAGTCCATGCTCATGTTGTGGAGGATAGAAATGATCATTATCTGCCAAGGCCTGTAATAATCTAACAACGTCAGCCCTCGGGTGACAACATCAGCTGCCTTAGAATTTTGTATCAAAATCAGGTCATAAAAATGACTTTTTGAGTTATGCCACGTCCTGTGTGAGTGTGGACATGAACCGTGAGTCGCTGTAGATGTTCCCACAAGTAAACCCTGAGGCTGATGGATCACGACTAAAGGAGGGAACGTTTTATGATAATGATCCAAAGTCAAGACATTTTTATTAGGGCTGTACATTTTCGGCGGACTCATAACTCAGACACGTGTAAAAAGAGGCACCTGTGGCTCAGTTGTTAAAGTGGATTAGTGTTGTTGTTTTGTTTTTTTAATGATGATGAAAATGATCACAGTTTGACAGTGTTCACGATGCCAAAAGGAAAAGAAAACTCTGACAAAATGGATTTGCTTCATCCTGTAGGTCAATCTAGTTAGCTGGTAGAAGTCTGTTAAATAATAATACTAATAATAATGAACCTTCTCAAGGCAGACCACGAAGCAGTATTTTGGTCTGGACTAAAGCTAAACACCACACACTGATCTAAATCAACTAAACATGGCCGACCGTAGACCGCACGTTCATAAGCTCCAACTATACATCTGCGTAGTTCTGCAGTCGTCAGTAATGCCTTCTAAATCTCTACTTATTTTTGTTGATGGCAACACTTACAGCTCAAAATGTTCTTACTGTTCACATAAATGTCATTACAATAACAGTAGAATATATCACAGTGTGGACCCAGCCCCGACAGCTGTTTCCTAAATGGTGAGTCATTACTTTAAAGTGTGATGTGAATTTCTTGGCAAAGTTTCACCTGCGTTAAACATTGTGTACTCTCTGAGTCTCAACTGCAGTTGGTCTCAAAGGGCAAGAAATAGACGTTTTTTTACTTTAATAACGCTGTTATTTAGAGTGTCAGACTTAGACAGATATAACTTAGCACCTCCTGCTGTATATCCTGTCACATACTGACGTTGCAAAATGAAGTCATTACAGATGGAGCCAGGTGCAGTTTGGTCCGGAGGTCACTACGACGGTGACGTTCTGGATTATTTTAGTCCTGATCTGAAACTAAACCAAAAGTTGAGCTTGGCTTCTGTTTGTCCTCATCAATTCTTTCATTACAGCCGTTCTTACTGGCTCGACAGAGTGCACTCTTTGTACTGCACAGCTGTGGTGGAAAAATGATGGAGACGGACATGAACTGCCTGAATATTCTACGTGTTTTTGCTGGATTGAAGATAACAACCACACATGGTACAGGTTCCTGTGTTACACTGGCTCACTGTCTCTCTCAGTTCATTCTGAGTTTATTCTGCAGCCACTTCTCTCCCCATGCCTCACCCTCTGTGCCTCTATCCTCCCTTTTTTTCCCATTAGCTCGCCTCATGCCTCTAAGTGTTGTGCACTCTGTTCTTAACTGTAGTTCTGGCAGTGATTTTTAGTCGTCACTTTGATTTTTGCAGTACTGTGCAAACTGATGTACAGAATACTTCTCAGTAACAAAGCTGACGTTAGTCTTCACTACATTCATTCGTCCTTTCTGGGGTCATCATCCCCAGCTGGTCAGCATCATCCCTAATGTTATTGTTGTCTGATACAAGACCCAGATGCAGCAGAGCCAGGAATCCCAGTGACACTGGACGTATGATATATTATTATTATATAACTGCTCGGCCATCAATTTCAAATTTTGAACTGGATTTCTAATGTGCTACTCTGCCTGAGATGCAAAAATATGAAGTGACTAATAAATTAAGGGTTGTTAAAGTGCAAGGTCAGTATATTACATGTGAAGATTTAAAAACAAAAATCTTTAAAACAGCACTTTTTTTCCAGTGTTGTGTCCACATTTTTTTTTTCACGTCATCAGCATGACTCGAATAATGTCCAGGGTCAGCAGCAGAGCTCTCCGTCTGAGCAGGATATAACAGCACTGCTCTAAAACTCCTCCAAACAAAAACACCTGGTTCCTCCGGGACTGAGTTAATCACGTCTTTTCTCTGCTCGCCCAGGAAACAAACATCCTCTCATTTCTCTTACAGAGCCCTCTGACACAGGCTGGCCGGCATCTTTTACTTTACATGTTTGCGTGTGGTTACAGGCCTAGTGGACATTTCAAATGGAATTTGTAGATTACAACAACCGATGTAGAGAAAGGCAGAAATGTGCATTTAATGCTTTGTTTTTCTCTCCTTGTTGACACTTAGCTTGCTGTAAACTGTATATTCTTGAATAGGCATTAGCGGTGCTCAGCAGTTATCATTCAGTGTTCCCACTCGTGGGTCGTGCCGTGGGCCCCCACACCAGCAGACATACTGCAGGGTGTGAAGTGTGATGGATGGTTTGGCTGCGGCACAAATGCTAACATTACAAGTTGTCATCCAGTCAATAGGGGGTCGGTCTCAGGTGACTGTGGGCAGCAGCCTGGACCGTGCCAGGCTGGTCCTTGAGTCTGAGAGTGACAGCTCTCTGGGGACGGAGTGTCTTTGAATTTATAGCGGGACATTGACATGTCAGCCCTGCATTTAATCATCCCGTTCTTCAAACTCTGAACTGTACAAACTGTCCTCCGTGTGTGCTGGTGTTTTTATAAAACCAAACAACACAATGAAGGATGCACTGATATGAAGATTACTGAACTAATTTAATAAAAGCTTCCTGGGCAGAGCGTCTACTTATTATCATTACTGACCAACAGGATGACATTCAAATGCTGGGTTTTATTTTATTAAAACTTAATAAAAAGCCATTCGTCATTGATCAGTTGTAATCAGCAGTAAAGTAGTTATTTTAGTTTAAAATTGCCCAATTTATTTCCTTTCCTTTTGAATTAATTTTCATTTTGTCTCTTGGGATTTCAGGGCAGTTGGCATCTCTATTTGTGTTTTGTTTTTTTTAATCGACACCTCAGTGGGAGAGTAATTTTTCTTGCCAGTCTTGGAATTGAAAAACACTCCCCCACAAAGGGTTCAGCATCTAATTACAGACCTTAAAACACAGCTATTCTCACCGTAATAAAACTATCACAGAGAAAGATATAGAACTTTTTCATTTTCATAGACTGTCCTTAAGAAACACAAGGACACATTTCAGGACACGCTTTATCAACAATCAGCAACAACCATTCAAATATAAATCCTAAATCTTTTCAAATACTAACCATGGTTGGCCCTGACACTGTGAAGGAGTGAGACCCAATCTCTAAAGAACCCTATTAGGACCTGCGCCCCGTGCCTGGGATAGTGTGGTCTCCTCTGGCTCAGTGAAAAGACAGGCAGACAGACAGAACTATAAACAACCAGCTTTTATCTCTGTCAGAGAGGCACGGCAACAAAGAGCCCAGCTGGCCGACCTTATATCCCTCAATCCCTCTGTTTTTCCCCCTTTTATCTTTTCTGTCATCACCCCACAATGTTGAGGAGGAGCCGCGGAGGTGCACTGACATGTCTCTGCTTCACTTTGTTTTTTCACATCTTCTCCACTGAAGTCTTGTTGCTGTTTTTTTTTAAATTATTATTATTGGTGACTCTTTCTTCTGACTAGGTAACAAGGTAATTGCAGTAGGAATCACCTAAGCTAACAGTAGTCCTGGTGAAAGTGTATTGTCATCATTCAAATCCATTACTATCACAGCTCACCTCAAGGACCCTTCACTTTAACCACCATGGCTACATGGCTGTTACTGAGTTACAAATATCTGCTGTGTGTTTTGATTTTATTTTGGTTGAAACCTTGAGTGCTTCTTAAAGTGTGGGGCGGGTCCCACTGGTTGGGAGGGGCGTGACAAAAGGGAGGACATTTTCATCTCTGGGTCATTTGATGGTATTGATTTTGATTCATTATAAAATATGATGTTACTTGGTGTTAGTTCAGTGTTTTATAATGAGAACCACTGGTTTAACCCACCTATGGTGCCATGTTTAAGTTTCTCTGTATACAATAACTTTGAATGATTCCCCTCACTCACTTCCACACACTGTTGATACTCAACATTATGAGTGACGTTCCATCAATACACCCTGATTAGGGTGAGACACTTCAGTCAATATGGTGCGCGACTCAGCTCAGAATAGAACATGCACTAAATCCAGTTTGGGACACACGTGTGTCACCTTGCATTTTACCACGTACCTCCATCTTGTTGAGAGACACCCAGCAGTCTGAGGGGAAGTCCTGCAGCATTGGAACCAAGAACTGTAGGCAGCCGTCCCAGTGGCACAGCAGCAGCATCATACCAATCAGGTTGATGATCCGCATCACCGCACTGGCCAGGTCATAGGTCATATGGAAGATCTGGAGAAAGGCGGTGAAAGAGGCAGAGAATTTACGTCAGTCTGGGCGGTGGTTTTGAGGTAAATGCTGCGTGTTTCTTTGAGTTATGTGCACAATGTTGATGTGGGATTTGAGCAGTGGATTAATGGCTCCTACTTTATAGTCCATTTTCACAGGCACGCAGTAAATTTTGTCCCTTCAGTCCAGAGAACATGATGTTATTTTTTGCCACCTGGATTTCAGTCTGTGTGTCTTTGATACATTTTGGCCTGTCCCTGAGAGACGAGAGGGTTTTTGGTTGAAACTTTACTGTGAACATCTCCACTGCTCTGACTGATTCTGCGATTTTTGACCTGTTTTCTTGATAGTATTCTAAATATGTATTGAATCTTAACATCTGCTCTGCACAGGGCAGTGAGTGTGGCAGGGTCGTAATTGAAAAATGTTTGATTTATGAGCAGGAAAGACAGGCTTCCATCATTCAGGAGTCAAACACAGCAGGAGCAGGTAGAAAATGTGTTACAAATTAGACACGTGTCAATCAGATGTTCACACAGAGTCCAGACGTACTCACGAAAGCCCAGGGCAGAAGCTGTGGAAAGTTTGTACAGAATGACAGTATAACATTACTGTGATGGACAGGGACTGATTCTATCATGATGTCTCTAATCAATCAATCTGACTTACCAGTCAGTAACTGGGGCCAATCATCTTCCACCTCCCCAACCCCTCGTCATAGTTTGGTGGTTGATATCAAGCTGGAACTTTACCAGTAACATGAAAATCTTTCTTTTTAAATGGCCCGATTAGGTCTGAAATAAGGGACTAAGAGAACAGAGTGTGTTTTCTGTAATTAGTGCAGATGTGATTCTACATGTTTTGGCTGATGAATAAAGTTGGACATGAATCTCATGTGTTGATCTTTCTACTGTAAATACAGGGTTCTCCTGTTGGAGATTCATGATAGAGAAGTAGTAGTACAGAAACTAACTTTGTTGTGTTGATGGATGATGATGATGATGATGATGATGATGATGGTGATGATGATGATGATGTGTAAGGTTAGCACTGTTCACAGTCTAGACAGGTCTAGTACGTAGAGATAGTTCAGACTACTCTGTGTGTCATTGTCGTCCTCATTATCACTGCATTTTATAATTGAAACAAAACAAGAGGGAGGCCTGTGTAAAGACTGACACGGTTCTGTGGCTTCTCTTCCTGGTTGGTTCTTAGCACCACATGTCACCTTTGTTGATTCTTCACACTCCTTTCACACGCTCTATTTCCTGGAAGAAAGTAAAAACAGCTCCGCCCACCAGTGGAGGCTGCGTCTTACAGCAGCAACCGTTCAGGCTGCTGTGCTCTCTTTGTTAGCCTCTGTTAGCCTCACCTTCACCTGTCGAATAAAATCATTGTCTACAACTAGCAAGGCCGTACACTGCCATTTGGTAGCAAAGTTGTTAAAGCATGTCACTGTGGATGAGCATTAATACAAATATAAACACGCTTTAAATGTATGATGTCAGTCAACATGTTCCTAAGAAGTTATGACCTTCATGACCTAAATCAATTTCCACTGATATTGAAGTCATTTTCAATGTATTTACTCATTTGCATTAAAGATTCTAGAGCAGTGTTTGCTGCAACACTGTGTGACTGAAAATATGCATTAGACAATGGCTTTGACTCAAGTCAGATATGGAATATATTTGTGCCTGCATAATAATGTTTTATGATTTGAAAAGATGTGGAACTTGACCTGTCCCCCCCCCCCCCCTTTTTTTTTTTTTTGCCATGGAACAAATAATTTGGGCCAATAATCTACTCTGTGAAGCGTTCCAAATGGAGTTTTTACCAGTCAGTATCAGTGTAGCAGGGTCGATGGTTACTGCCTTACAGGAAAAAGCCATCGGTAAGGTTTTTCCCAGTGTCCCAGAACATGTCAGTTAGTCACTGGAGACCTCACTGACCAGAGGTGCAAATGGCTGTTTATCTTCATAGGTGGGATTCAGATGCTCTGTGCATGGTGAAACTGTTTTTTCTCCCAATGCCATGACTCCAGCTCCTTTTGTAAACCTGACAGTCTAACATGTGAAGTGGTAAAAGCTGGATTCATATCAGATTGATTCTATTAAAAATGAGCCTGGTGAAAGGTGACTGCATTTCAGGAATCTTTTCACCATGTATGTCTCCAGGCTTCAAAACATCACCTTGTTTCCTCAGACAGATAGTTAGCTACAGAACCTGTCTTACATCATGTACAGTGTGGTCCTTGGTTTCAGGCTGGGATTTGTCAGGATGAAATAATAATGTCATACAAACAGGAATTTATATATAGACAATCCTGATGTCAGTGTCCACTACATCACTGCACTCATTCTTTATGCGCGCCTGGTATCATTTCCCATCATGCACCACTTTAAATATGGGAGTGCGTGCATGTGTGTGTGTGTGTGTCCCGTCATATCTTCAGAAATCCAATTATCCAAAGGTCAAGTGAGCAGCACAGCCCCACTGCACTGCTCACTACTGCAAAATGCCAACACCAGGCTGCCGATACTGGCTAACGATAAGTCGAGTGATCTGATGACATCGCTGGTCACCCCGCTCTGCACCATTCCGGGACAGAGTCCGGCTATGAGCAGGGCAGGAGCAGAACAAAGTGCAGTACCTGGCAGCAGCGCCCAGGCCTGCAAAGTCAGGCGTCTAAAGAGGAGTCAGTCAGCAAACCTGTGTGATTACTTTAAATGAACAATTAGTGACAAACATAATCACGTTGAGCAGCCCCCTAGTGCTGGGTATTATCCTCAGTGTCTACCCCACCTGCTCTTTCTGTGCCTCCTTAATTGATTAACTGTGTTTGGCCTGGTAATGGGCTGCTTATTAGCCTGCCTGGTGCTTCCTGTGGGACTGTCAGGTCAGACAAGGAAATACACGGGTAGAGCGAGGATGTAAGATAATAACAGTAATTACATGGCAAAAGTTGTTAAGGCTCAAACTTTGTGTTGACACACATATTTCTCAGTAGATGACAGTGGAGGAAGACCTGCTTCAGGGACATACCACTGTTATGGAAAAGGTTGTACACTCATCAAATATGAGAAACCACAACTGAAGTTTGGTGCTAGACTCTGTAAAATGACAACAAAGTTTCTTTTCTACTGCTCAATACTGAAGCCCCCTTAGGGGTGGGAGGTATAAACTGTAGGAACTGTAGTACCCAGAGAATAGTCGTGCACACACAGGGAGAAATGCATTGGATTTTGTGCATGTGACTGGCCTGCCTGCCGTCCAGATCTGCCTATCACTACACGGTGACTGTCATATCACAAACAGCTGAATTAGATAACAACTACCCCTGGCTGTGAGGCATCGACAGCCCCTTCAAAAGCAACGGTCTCAGCATATTTTGGAGTGTGTTGCATTTGTCCACATATAGATCACTGTATAAATACATGTGAATTGAAGCTACTTGACAACCGCCTGATAGATAATGTGTGTTTGGATCAAAGAATTACAAAATGTGTTTGTGAAGTGCTGAAGCTGATAACACTTCCTCAGCTGATAAGTGTTTTATGACGTGATCTAACACATTGTTTACTCAGGGCCTGAGAGTCAGAGTGCATGCGCTTACCTCCTCCCATTGGTGAATATAGCGTATTAATCTGGAGAGCCTCAACAGTCTCAGAAGACTGAGGATCTTAGTAAAGCGAACGATCCTCAGGGCTCGGGCAGTCTTGTACACCTCAGAGTCGATTCCCTTCTCCACTATAAGAAATATATAATCCACCGGTATGGAAGAGATGAAGTCCACTATGAACCAAGTTTTAAGGTATTTCGTCTTTATAGTTTTAGGGTCTAAAATGATGTCAGAGTTGTCCTCAATGATGATTCCTGTGCGAAAGTTGAGGACCAGGTCCATGAGGAAGAAAGTGTCCGAGACCACGTTGAAGATGATCCAGGGCGTTGTGGTCTCCTCCTTGAAGAAGGTGATGCCCACTGGGATGATGATCAGGTTTCCCACCATAAACAGCAGCATTGTGAAATCCCAGTAGAACCTAGGAGGTATTGTTGTGAAGTGTGTGTGTGTGTGTGTGTTGTTTGATAGTGTACATGAGGGAGTGTGGAGTACAGGTGGGGAAACAGGGAGAGGTGAGGAAGGAAAAAGGACAAAAATAGAGTCAGTTAAGAAAGCTGATAGGCACAAGAGACTTCCTAACTCAAGATGGAAAATGTGTAAATGAAGTCTGGAGCTGCAAGCTGCCTGTGAGAACGAATGCAAAAATGTCTTTTCTGACATGGTTATTCACATGCTTTAATACTTTTTAAAATTATTTTACAAATTATGAATATACTTGATATCTTACGATGAAGATTGACAGCTACATGAAAATATTCCAGGAGTGTTTGTTGAACGTGTGCTGATGCTTTCAGGTGTTTTTTAATTTTTAACTTCAAGATTTTGACAATCTTAAGATAAGATTAATTGTCAAAGTGTAAAGATTGCAGCTAAATGTCATTTCTAAAGAGGTGCAACAAAGGGAAAAAAGTAAACTCTCCATGACAAGGTTAATTCCCAGAAAGAGGGAAATTCTGAAAAAAAAAGAGGGAGATTCTGTGGTGGTCCGAGGCTGAATTTTAAACTGTTAGGAACATGGTCTAACCTGGAGGTACATATTTTCATCATTATTTGCCTATAATATATGTACTTGAACAAACCACCATTGAATTCATACAATCCTATTATAATCAATTGTGTTCCCTTGGTAAGGCTGATATTTTTGTCAAGAGATTCTAGTCAAGTATGAGTTTTGGTAGTTTCTGTGTACTTGTACTTGAAGCTCCTATGGCGACCTTGCAGTGGTGACTGCAGTGATGTGGCAGTTTGGTGACTGGGGCAGGCAGAGTAAAAAATTGTTGAGGTTCGGCTTCTCCGCACGACAGGTGCGGCGCTGAGTCATTTTACACTGCAACTTACGCAACGCAAGCTGTGACTCCTGCACTTCACGGTGTAACAGCCTCGATCATCGCCATAAAAGCAACTTTGTGTACGTTTATAATGAGGAGGGAGTGAAGCCTCTCGCTGTGTGGGAAGTCTGCGTGGTAAAGAGCGTCACGGTGGCGTGATGTCAAAGATGAAGACATGTCCTCAGCCTTCGCTGTTGTGTTTACTCAGTGTCATGTGACGTCGTATGGGTCAAATTTTAAAGGGGAGCAGGCTGGGGTGTAGATGAACGTGGCGCTCGTTCACGCCAAACCACTCCTAATCAGACAGGAGCTGTCCGCTGTGTGTGGTGCTGAAATCAAACCAGACTGAAAACCCAGGCTTTTTTTTTTTTTTTTGCTGGGTTCGTCGTGTAAGCTGATATAGACGCTTTAAAAATGTGAAATCCCAAACGTGATCACGATGAATTAGGGTGGCTCGTGGAATTTCCTAAATATTTTCGTGATAAAATAGGAGCTGGTTATCAATGAAGAGCCGTGATAAATAGAACATATCCGGGCGGTCATACAGGCGGATCCGTCTTTAGCGAGCATGCTGGAGGTTTTCGCACACTTGGCTCAAGGTGACATTCCTTTACTGAGGCTTCTCTCTCTCTCTCTCTCTCTCTCTCTCTCTGTCTGTCTGTCATTTGCATACATTCACATCATAGCTTACACCCTGCCATAAAAGGCCCAGCGAAGCACACCTCATAACCTGTCTTTCCATTATTCCTCTTTTGTTAATGAACTCGACTCCGAGTGTCTTCTTTTGTTAATGTCCGTGAGTCTGTGATCAAAAGTGCACTGTGTGAGCAGGCCGAGCTGGTCGAGCATCTGAGAAACGCCACTATACTTACACACTGGAATAGGGTTTGTTTACAACACTGAAAGAGACACTCTTTGCCAGAATCAATTCGGCTGACAACAGGTTGTTTGGGGATTGGGTCGAGTTTCAGTTTTCTACACAGGTTGTAAAAGGGGGAAAAAAACAGGATTCCCATGGAACCTGGGTGGTGTACTACCTACAAAGTTGTAGGAGACACAACCCGTCACACGACCCTGTCATGACTTTGACAGTGCAGCGGCAGCTCTTACCTGAAATCACTGTAAGGGTGGATAATCCAATTCCCAGCAGATTTGACCCTCTCCTGTTCCCTCTCCACTGCTTTCTGACTGCCATACATGCGTAAGGAGAATTTGTTAACTCCCGGCTGCAGCATGCTGCTGAACTGCCGTTGCATGAAACTGGCTTGGCTGCCCCGAGGCTCCGCGTCGTCGGCGGGCACAATCGGCGGTCCATCCTCCGTCTTCTGGAAAGTGACAGAGTTCCTGGGCTGCTGGGTCTGGGTCGGCCCGTGCAGCGAGGACGAGGCTTTCCGGCTCGGTGCGTTTGAGAAGGACACCTTGGAGTCCTTCTTCTCAGGGACACCGCCGGACACCGGGGTAGCAGCGGGGTTTGCACTGTCTCCTCCATGCCCCCCGGTCAGGGACCCACCTGGCGTTATGGAGCCGTCCATGCTGGCGGTGGTCGAGTTACGAGCTCCTCGCTTGACGCTTCCTGCGTCCTCGGCCCTCGTCGACCCTCCTGTCTGCTTCTCCTGCTTGGAGATGATTGAGCGCAGGCTCCCGGTACCCGAGTCCCTCCTGCATTCCCCGTTTTTGTTGCATTTCATGCTGGAAAATGGAGCAGCGCAAACATCACCCGCTGTCGCGCTCGCAACCTCTACCGCGGCCGCATCCGCCCCTGATGCTCTGCTGGTATCGCCGCGCTGGGCAGCATCGCCCGGACTGGGTGTCTGGGTCTCGGTGGCTCTGGAGGCAGCGGAGGGCCGTGGGGCGGCAGCAGCAGCAGCAGCAGCAGCAGCAGCAGCAGCAGCAGCAGCGTCCTCTGTGTGCGTGAGGCAGGGCTCCTTGTTGGAGTTCCTCCTGGAAGCCGAGGTCGCGGCTCCCCCTCCTGGCGTAAAGTTCTTCATCCTGGTACTGCCTCCTCCTCCTCCACCAACACCACCACCTCCTCCTCCACCAACACCACCACCTCCTCCTCCACCACTTCCGCCACTGCCGCTCCCCCCGGCTCGGTGCAGCCGCGGATGCTGAAACTTAGGCTCCTGTTCTCCGTCCCCGGTCTTGTCCATCACTTTTCTACTCGCCACACCGGGCTGCTTGCCGCCCGGTGCCCCGGTGGAGCTGGAGGAATCCAGACAGTTGTGGCTGCTGTTGCTTCTGGCGCATTTGGCCACAGCAGCAGCCTTGGTTGCGCTGCTGTGGCTGCATCCACTGACGCCCACCGCCGTCTTTTTCATGGTGGCAGCAGACGACGCCGGTGAAGCCGCGTTCCTGTCCATGACATTAAGAATATCACATATTGTCTCCAATTACCTTTTTAGAGAAACCAATCAGCTTTAGAGTTAGAGAGGAGAGGGTGGAGGGAGAGAGAGAGGACAGGGAAGGAGAGGGAGGGGAGGACGTGACTTATTTGCAAAGTACTGCGCTTGTACTTTGACTTGTCATCATGTCAGAGATGCAGAAGATCGGACAGTGATCAACCTTCGCATCGCAACTCGTCATAGCACAAACCCCGGGTTGGTTCTGGTCCATGTAAAAAGCTGGTTAATCATCCAAATGTAATACATCCTCTAAACCAGAAGGTTCACTGGAAAAAATACGCATTGGCCAAAAGCTTCACGTGTTTTAACACTTCAAATTCTGGCATCTAAAGTTTAATTAGCACGTGTCGGTGACAACCAAAAATGATGTCATACGTTTTAGAGGGTGTTTTGAATGACATCTACCCTAAATTGTTCACTAAAGCAGGTGTGTGTCGCCCTCTAGTGTTTCTGAAGGCGATGTGCTCCTTAGTAGACGTCACGACAGACGAGTTGAACTTTAGTATAAAACAAAATGAGATGAGGGGTAGTGGAGGCATTGAACAACGTGGAGGTGTGGAGGGGGAGACTTGTAGTCAACTACAGTGTGTGTTTAATTGCAAGTTAAATTAGGAGAGCTCAGTATTTCAAATGGGCTACACGGTGGTTAGTGCTTTTGTCTTAGAGCAGAAAGGTTACAGGTTCAATTCCCTTTTTTCTGATTGTATTTCTGTATGGAAATATAATCTGTTATGGGGACAAGGGTCTCTGCAGATGCTGCTGCAGTTGCTGAATTACAACGGAAACACCAAAACAAAGAAAACAATTTAAAATCTCACAAATCACTGCACACTTTTATTGTTGTTTCAACACTTCATTACATTCATACAAAGAATCAGTGAATACAATATTTATGTGAATTCTTATGAGAATGCACACTTGTTTTTCATCCCTTACTAACACTTGTTTTCAGCCAGCAACCTCTCTGACATCCAATAAATTACAATATATCAATAGTAAAGAATGAACTTTCTGCATTTTGCAGTGAACACTTCTGTGTGAATTGTTTGGCCGGAGCTCAGATGATCATGTGCTACATTTTGTCACCAGTCTATAGCCTATTTGTCAAATACATTTGACAAAACACACCATATGCACAGGATCAAGCTCTACGTCCCAAGACAAAACTACACTTTTACTCTGCTCAGTAGTTGATACACATTCTCAACTTCAGGCTGAATCACTGTGCAAAATCAATAAAACAAAAGTGCAAATACATTAATTTGAACAAAAAACCTGAGATGCATGAAATCATTTCCGTAAGAGTAGAATGTGATTTATTATTTTAACTATACCGTGGATTAAAACCACTGTTGACATCTCTAGACTTTGTATTACCTGTGTTGGGGTAAAAACAAGGAAATATTTGTCAACATAAACCAGTGAAGGTAAATTTGCTCTGTTTGAATCCTGAGTCAGATCTGGTCCCAATCCCACTTTATTTTAGCCTGGGCAACAAACTTCATCCTTTCAGCTACACTGATCCACAGATCCCACAACAGCTGTTTACATTTTAAAAATGTATAAAACTCATTGACATGAGTTTCAACTGGCAACCATTTTAAAAAGCCATATAATTGAAACCTATTACCTAAAAGAAGCACATACCTGCAGATTCCTGCAACATATCTTTTTATTGTTCATGGAACCGTTCTGCAGGCCTGACAAGTAACATTTCAGAGTTTAATCTCAGCTTTTTTTGTTGTTGTTTTACTGTCATGTAAACTATTGACAAAAGTGCTGTTAAAGAATTAGATGTTCACTTAGAGAGGTTTTTTTTAAAAATCGACATCTCTATGCTGTCTAAATCAAGTTCACAATTCTCAAATTTCATCTTGCGATCCTATTTTGTAAGAGTGGTTTGGATCCGCCTGTCTATGCATGGACAGGGTTTTTTCACTCGACGTGTAGCACACTGGAAAAGCGGACTTGACTGTGGTGTCCTGGACTTGGTCAAATCTCCAGGTGTTGCACCATGCACATACCAATGTGTACTTTGGTAGGGCCTGCCTCCATCGCTGCACAGCAGCTACAGCCCGGCAGGAGTCGTCTTCCACACGTCCTGAGACAAAACAACTGTCTGGGTCTCAGCGGTAGAGGAGAGCTGTGGGGTCCCAGTGGGTGCATGGTGGGGTTGGTGATGTTTAAAAAAAAATCTACAAGTTTGAGTTGCTGGTGCCTTCTTCGTTATTGACTGAAGTTGGGGAAGAGGAGGAGGAAGAGGAGGAGGAAGAGGAGGAGGAAGAGGAGGAGGAAGAGGAGGAGGAAGAGGAGGAGAAATTCATCCCTGCTAACCCTGGTGGGTCTGTGGCTGTGTTCTCTCCACTAAGGCTCTTCCTACACACAGGACAGGAATCATGCTGAGGGGACAAAAGACAGAGGTGCTCAGTCTGATCACTGTAGACACCAGTGACACGTTGACTGATCAGACACATACCTGCTCCAGCCATGGCACGATACAGTCATTATGAAACAGATGATTGCACGGAAGTTGTCTAACACTCTCTTCAACGCTGTAATCTTCTTTGCAAACAGGACATTCTAAACCAGCACCTGCACAAACAAAACAGCTGTTTAGACTGTGAGTGTGTGTGTGGCCATGAGAGCGGACTGAAAACACACTCATGTTTGCAGTTTGCCTTTTTGTGTAAAGCAGCAGAGACAGTTCATCCCAGCCCCCTCAATGACCCCTCCCTGTGACCCACTGTGTCCTCACCTGTGTTTTTCCTGTCTGTCTATTTCTGTCACCGGTTTTATGAGTTGACAGGAGATATTTTTATTTACAAGGATAACCAGAGAGAGAGAGGAAGGAGTGAGAGTGTGACAGCAGAGCCAATGTTAAATATGTAACTACATGTAGGTTGTTTTTGCCTTATTTAAATCTGTTGAAGTTTCATTTTCAAACCATGCCCATATGTAAACAGTACATGATGTTGTATGATATCATCACTGTCCTTTATGCTTTTAAAAACACAATCCTGTCTCAGTTCAGTCGTATTGATAATTAATGTAGTGTTAACACTTGGATCTTTAAGACATCAACGCCAACTCTGACTTTTTTTTTTATGACAGTTGGTTTTTGAACCTTCATCTTCTGAATCCACCTCACCTCTGTACAGCCAGATAATACAATCTGCCACAATAATCAACCACAACGTTTTCTTCCCTAAAGGAGGATGTCAAAACGTACCCACGTGCTCCTCCGTGATGGAGATGGTGGGTAACGTCTTTATCCTTTCTTTATCTGCAGGGGGGGGACCTGTGTTCTCAAACTGGTTCAGTAACTACATGTGGAAAAAAAGCAGAGAATATTTTTATAATATCAGTCACACAACTGCACTGTATATTGTTTTTTTCTGTGCAAACTGTTCCACCTGTGTGATGATTTCATCCAGTCCACTGGCCCCCCAGGCATAGTCCATTGGATTGGAGTGCAACATTCCCCTGCAGTACAAGACAGCAGCAGGACAACAAACAAATGTTATAAAGAGCTGTGGGCTAAGCAACATGTAAAACAACAGGTTTATTCTCTGGTATTACCATAGTCCCATCCCAAGGTTAGCAATGGTTGTAGGAGCAATGATTCCATTTACCAACTGCTGGATGATTCTGCAGCAGAGAAACAGAACAGAAACTGTTGCACATTGATGCATAATGTCAGTTCTTATACATTCTTATAGCAGATACAATGATAACTCCATGGGGATTTACACCGAGGATGAGGCAATCAGATGTAGAACTCTGCCCCCTTGTGGAATGGAGAGGTAAAATGGGTGCAAACAGAGTGGAATCATTTTAACCCTGCACCAAAATGTTTTTGTGGAAACCAAAATATACCATTGTTTTTTGTTTTAACCTGTAATTACTACATCAAATATTTTCATACAACTAGTGAATATACGTATATCAGCTGTTTTACTTGTGTCTTAGATTTGAACTTTATTTAATAACAGACAAAAAATTGTACTCCCAAGTGTAGTATAACTGCTGGTAGCAGCTAGCACCAAAAATACTCTAAGAGAATTATCTTCTCTCAGTAAACACCTGGTCAATAACCAAAAGTGTGCAACATTTAGCTGCTATTCTGGATATTCTTAGTAAGTCTTTGTCATGTAAAACAGGTGTTTTAAGGCAAACAGTGTTAATTGGGGGTGTGATTATGTGTTATTTAATCAATATGATAAGCAGTCAACTCAAAAACAGTGCAAATTAAAGCCTCCCAACTGCAAGCTAAATAATGTACAACATGGTGACATTCATAAAACTAAATGCTAGGAATAAAAAGCAGCAGCAAGGTAACATGAGGGTTGGTGTTCATTTACTAATAATACCAGAGCCCAAACAGGACGTGTGCCAGTGCTGCACATTAGGCATTACATAACTTGAGCAGGAGGTATTTTTAAGTTTTATTTTGCCATACTTTTAAATCCGGCTCACACACTGAGCTGCTGTAAATGTCTTACCCCTCTAACGTGGGCACTCCTTCTTGCCGTGTACCCTGTCTTCGAGGAGCGTGTCGACCCCGCCTCACGGTCACGCTGTATCTCTGGCGTGATCCCATTTCCCGTTCTCTCCTGTTTTCTGTCTCTCTGTTGTCCTCTGCAGGCACCCTCGTCCGAAAGTCAAAACTGTCATCGAAAAACCCAAGTGTCAGGGGTCCGTATCCAGAGGAGAGTGTGAGTAACTGCTGGAGATCCATGTTCTGGATGAAATCATTAGGAAAGAAAGATTCATTTTGCAAATCTGTTAATTGCTAAAGCCCTTTTTTGTACTGCATTCTACAAACCTCAAAAGCAGTACGGGTTTGATCACTGTTGGAGGTTGATGCAAAAGCATTTTCTCTGGAGGGGAAACAAAAGTGTTGACTTTAATGACGGCAATAAGTCAAATAAAATTAGCCCCTTTCTATATCCACTGGTCTGAAGACCAATTAACTCAACTTTTTTATTTTGTAATTATTAGACAATTTATTTCAAGACCAGGGGAAAAATGGTCATACATTGTTTTCTTTTCTATTCAGTGACTGAGTGCAATAAGTAGGACATTTCTCATAGTTACTTGTTCTGACAGTTGAACGTGGTGCTGAATTACACGTCACTTTATGTAAATTGAAAAATGTACCGGGTATCGGGAATCAAAATCAGACAAAAAAAAATACAATTATTTACAAGATGATTGACAAAATGAAACATAATCATTCATCCTACCTTCTCTCCTCTGGTAACTCCTCAATAAAGCCTGACTTACAGTGTGGGCAGGTGTAATCCTTAAAAAAAAAACAAAAAAAACAAAAATCAATTTTATTAGTCTCTGTAAACATACACATGATTCAATTTGTCATCATTTAATCTGTCCCTATGGGACAGTATGGGGTGATAGCAGGTTTTATTTATTTATTTCATCAATTGTCTGTGGTTAAGGCAAATCCAAGCCGAGATGTCTTGTATTATGGGCTTGTTGGTTTTTTTTCTGTTGTTGAACAATAACAATTACATGTCTGTGGTTAAGACGAAAAAACGCGAAACTCGTGATATAATTCCAGCAGCATCCAAACGTGAGCGTTACCTGTCAACTTAATGACACCCACTTGACTGTCTGCCGTTAGAGCTAACTAGCGTAGCTCAACGTCAACGGATGTGGAGCAGAGAATAAATCGTTAACAGATGCAGGTGTGATTTGACATTTTGCAAAAAAATCAACATGTCTTGGCTTCTTACCGGTAAGAGCGGTCGAATCTCTGAGGAACAGAAGTGACAGAAATACCGGCATCGTTGTGTGGGAGCCTCAGCCATAACTAACAGATCTGCCGTTACTACAGAAGACAAGCAGCGAGGGACAAAACCGTGCTGAGTTTTGCAGAGAGGAAAAAGATGCAGTGGCCAGGGTGTTGTGAATTTAAAAATTCGGTCGGTTGTCGGTGGTGTTGATGCGGCAGTCGCATCTGTGATGTTGCATTACTGCCTTAGTTCAGCTTAATCATCCATCCCTTCTTTTACCATCTAACATCCTTCACATACTGGTGCTGACACCCATCACACTGCACTGTTGTTGTTACATCACCATCCTATAGACCCCTCCAACATAACATCACTTTAAAAATCCTTTGATTCTCAGCTGTAAACCTTTGATTCTGTGCTGGGCTGGTATATGCAGGCATTGCTTCATAAAAGGTGACTCCCCACAAATTAAAATAAATAATAATAATAATAATAATAATAATAATAATAATAATAATAATAATAATAATAATAATAATAAAACAATGTAAAAGTCAAGTAAACTTTTCTTTTACCTTCAGCTATTTCTGTGTGTATATATTTTTTATGTTGTGAACACTGTATAAGATATAGCACTAACCAATTTTATCAATTTTGTCCCACTTGCAGGAAGTTGTGGTGAGAAATATGTATGTTCTTTAGAACTAACTTATGTGCGAGATGCAGTAACTTATAATTAATTAGACTTACGGTCTGCACTGTGCAGGACACATACTAAATGTGTAATTGTACCAGACTCAAATGCAATTATTATAAATTCTGTTTTAAAACCAGTCTTTTTGTATAAAGTCAATAAATCAAGGAATATAATTAAACAAATGTCAAGGAAAAACTAACATAATAAAATGTAACATAAAATAAGGCTATTAACGCCCCAATTTATTTGTCAGTGAATGACGGAAATGAGATAGGAAGGGTGAGACCAGACAAACTTTTGAAATCATAACGTAATGAGTCATTTTAAATAACATGAACAATGTTGACCTCACTTTTGTACATACATTTCCTTTTGACTTAATATTTAAATTGTAACATTGAATGTGAATCTAGATTGTTTATTATTATTGAAGGTTATGTTTATTTTTCATGTATTTAACGTGTTGCTATTTGTTTGATGGTGTGTTGTCATCACTGGGATTACATAGGTTATAATTGCCCATTTTTATCTGGTCGTTTAAAACAATCGACCACACAAAAGGCAACGGAAACAATTTGAAGGATGCGATGGCAACTCCAAACCGTAGGGGGCAGTAACTAACAAGACTGTTCCTGGTCTACCGGAAACGACAATAAGACATCTTCTGAGTTAGCCGTTCGTGTCTGTTGTTTAATAAAATTGTGTCGTTCTGCTTCGGTCATGGAGTCCAACGATGCAGGTAAACATAAATCGTTTAAACATTAAATGTAAACATCGATAGTGAAAAAGTAAGTCTGATTAGTTTGTCGTAACGCTTAAAAAGTAACACTGGTTCATCACAAGCCTTCGTAGGCTTTCTAGTTAGGTAAATAAAAGGGACAAAGTAATCCTTGAAATCCATTTATCTGGTTCTCTACTGTTGCTCCATTTGAATTTGCTGCAATATAATGTATTTAACCTTTCAGGGCGGGGAGGATGGAAGTCCAAGCCTATGCAGCAACAAAAAGCCAAGTCGAACATGTTTATTCAGCGCCAAGAACAGCTTATTGCTCAAAAGAAAGAAGAGATTGAAGCCAGATTGGCAGCGCAGGCAAAGATGAAAATACAAACCACCAACAACACCCCACCTCCAAGGTAAGAATACACACACAAGCCCACTAATGCGCTGTAGACAGGTTGTGATGATATATGAGTAAGTTAAGTCGTATTTCAGTAACAGCATCCCAGGTGCCAGTGTAGGCCTTTAAGCAAGCAAATACACTGCTTTTAATCAAGTCATTTTGCTTTATTAAATAGTAAAAACATAGAGAAATCCATGCCACAAAAACTATAAATACAGCTTTTATTATATCAGAAAACACATATATAGATGTAACACTGAAAAGCATGCATTTGTACTGTAAGTCCATAAGCTTAAACCTTTCACTAGTAAAAACAGGAGGCTGTACATTGGCTGTCTCAAACCCCAATGTGTTTTTTTAAATTCCCAAATGTATCATAGTTAATCAGGGTTGTTAATCAACTGTTATTTGTTCTAGTATACAAGGACCCTCCTCCAACAAGTTTGTAAATGATGGAAGCTTCTTACAACAGTTCATGAAGATGCAGAAAGATAAACCTACTAATTCACCAGGTAAATTTTATTGGTTGGTTTTTGTTTTTATTTTAAATAAAAAGAACACCAGAACACAGTGCCATGGATGGGTTATTTAATGTTGTATATTGTTATTTGAAATGTTTATCATAACCAAGAACATGTTGTAGTAGATAATACACATGGTCAGGGTCAGGTAAAAATAGCTGACAGCAAAAACAAATAAGGAAAAAACTAAGTTGCAGTTTTTCCGAGCACTTAATAAAATGAATATGTTTTAGGTTGTACTAGCGATGCCAAAAGTGGAAATGCACTTCAGAAAAAGAGTGTTCTTGTTGGCAAGCGCCCTGGCCTTGGAGTCAGCAGCATGCTTAGTCAGTTCAAGAACTACTCTCAGTCGAAGAAGAATCCTGTTCTTAGCCAAAGGCCGAGTGTGTTTTCATCTCCTGATGGTGACGATGACGAAGAAGAGACTGACGACTCCACGTTCTTAGAGATAAAAGGTAATTCAAGTGTTTTGTTCAGACAAAGAATGCCTTGGTCTTCACAGTGCATCTTCTGCCTGCTTTAGTGGTACAGCTGCTTTGTGACTGCCATTTTGTCATGGGTGCAATCACAGTAGATATACTTATAGCCTGTTTAAAGTCTCTCCTCCAGAGGATACAGACACCAGGCTCATAATAGACAAGATGGCCTCGTTTGTGGCTGAGGGTGGACCTGAACTGGAGAAAAAGGCCAAAGAGGACTACAGGGACAATCCTATGTTCTCGTAGGTCCAAAACATTGTTGCTTGTCATAATTATGTTTGCAATGAAATTGTTTTAACAATATTTAACAGATTTGAGTGTCTTGCTGTTACAGATTTTTATATGATCAGAACAGTTTGGAGCATCTGTACTTCAAAAAAAGAGTTGCGGTTTTGAGAAAGAACTCACAAAAATCAGAGAAACCATCAAAAAATGGTAAGACGGCCCCCTTTGGTATTTTTATACATGTACATTCCCTTTCAGACTTATCATTTGTAAATGTAAAAGAGATCTTGTCGTGCAATTTTAGTGAAATTGTCACAGTACGATAACACATTTGCAACAGTCTGCCCTAAAAGGGTTAGGTTTATTTTTTATGATCTTTATTTAAAATGATAAAATATATTTTCACAGTTGCTGTGACATGCTGTTCCTGATACTTACACACTTTTACTTAAGCATTATCATTTGGCTGTGTATGTTATTCATGGGCTACAATGATAATCCTCACATCCATGAAGCTCCCTGTTCACCACCACTGTCATCCTTGCCTCCCCCTCCTCTTCTTATCCCCTTATTGGCTCTAGACTGGTGGTGTTTGAGGGCCAGTTGAATACGATTCAGTAGTAGAGTGTGAATTGAGTCCCAGTACTTATAGGCTGCTTAAAGTCTCCCCCTCAGTGGATGCTGAAACCCAGCAAGTCGCAGAGAAACTGGCCAGGTTTGTGGCGGAGGGCGGCCCCGAGGTGGAAAACATTGCTGCTGAACGCAACAGAGACAACCCTGCCTTCAGGTCAGGTTCTGAATATAAACTTTTTTTAGTCAGATTTTATATTATACACTTTTTTTGCTGGAGACTAATGTCTGTTCTCTTCGTTACAGCTTTTTATATGACCCACAAAGTCCTGGGTACCGCCTCTACAAAGACAAAGTCAAGGAGTATCGTGCCGCGGCCTTTCCCAGCACTTTACCTGCATCGGAACAAGCAGTGACACATGTTCAGCCATCAGCTCCACGGCCCTCGTCAGGATTCCAGGAGTCAGAAGTCCCACCTGTGAAAAGGAAAAGGAAGAGCAGATGGGGTTCTGAAGATGACAAAGTGGAGCTGCCTATTCCACCTATCGTTGTCCCTCCAGAGATTAATGTCCCGGACCCTGAAGCACCCTGTCTCTCTGGTATTCAAAAGATTTGCAAAAATATTCAGTCATTACTCTTAATGACTTTAATTAAATTATACCAGTTACATTTTAATTACTCACCCATTAAAATGATTTGATAGTAATTGATTATTTTGTCAGCTTTTATAAACATAATTGGTGAATGTTTGTCATTTTTATATCTTCCAGTCCAGGAGCTCAAAGGTCTTGGTTATAAAAAAGGGAAACCTCTCGGTTTGGTTGGAGTAACAGAACTGTCTGAGGAGCAGAAGATCCAACTCAAAGAACAGCAGGAGGTTTGAGTGTTCCAACTGAATAAACATTTAAACAGGGAGAAACTGTGATGCTGCTTTTTAACCTATGTTATACCCCAGCATCTTTCATCTGTTACTAAAAAAAGGCAAGATTTTCAAACCTTTTAATCAGCTATTACTGTTTGCTTTGTGACGCAGATGCAAGAAATGTACGACATGATTATGAAGCATAAACGAGCAATGGCAGAGATGCAGGTGATGTGGGAGAAGGCAATAAGGGACCACCAACATGAGTACGACAGCGATGAAGAGGTGGACCAGCAGGCGGGCACCTGGGAGCACCGTCTGAGAAAGATGGAGATGGAAAAGACGCGCGGTAAGGCAGAAATTAACTTGGTTAAATAGTCAGAATCAAAGTAACTCCTGTATTGGCGATGCCTGGCATTTTTATTTCAAGAGCATTTCTCATTGAAAAAATGCTTTTCCAGACTGGGCAGAATCTCTGACAGAGATGGGGAAAGGCAAACACTTTATCGGGGACTTCCTTCCACCAGAGGAGCTGGATAAATTCATGGAAACCTTTAAGGCTCTGAAGGTCAGTTCTTTTTTGTATTTTGTGTTCTGTTTCTATTTGTCAGCTAGACCCCATATTTTTCCATAAATATCTCCAGAATTGAGCATAAATTAAATAAACTGAGGTCATAATTGACTTGATTGGAAGAGATGTAGTTTTAAATGTTTGTGTATTTTGGGTAAAATGGCAACGCTACTTTTTTTTAAAATCATGAATCTAACAACCATCAACCATCGTGTCTTGCAGGAGGGACGTGACCCTGACTACTCAGAATACAAAGAGTTTAAATTGACAGTGGAGAACCTTGGATTTCGTATGCTGATGAAGATGGGCTGGAAGGATGGTGAAGGTCTGGGCAGTGAAGGACAGGGAATTAAAGCTCCAGTCAACAAGTGAGTGTTTGTCCTTGTCTTTACGGAAACACGTGGATGTGTACTTGCATCTTAAAATCTTCATGATTTCAGTTGCATGAATTATGAGACTACCTAAATTATCATTCTCAAATAACAAACATTAGAGGCAAAGTAGCAATGAAAAAAATCAAAAGTGGGTTACACTCGACAAAAACACACACACACTGTCTCTTTTATCTTTATTAGGGGAACGACAGCCATGAATGGAGCTGGTTTTGGAGTCGACCGTCCAGCTGAGCTCAGCAAGAGTGATGATGAATATGATGCATTTAGGAAGAGGATGATGCTTGCATACCGTTTCAGGCCAAACCCTTTGGTAACTATATTATTTTCTCTGTTCTGTTTGGGTTTATATGAATTCAATACACATGCATGGGTAAGTCAGAAATTCTTGGACAGATGTTATATTTATAGAAGGTGTCAGGTTTTAATTACTAAATCATTAAGACATCTCTCTAGCTTCTCCAACAGCTTTGACAAGTGTTCAGCTGTACTATGTTTTCTCAACCCTCGAAACAATATTTAAATTGGAGCAAAAACGTGTGTGTATATATATACTGTAAATATATATGTATTCTCTGATGTAAACACCACTTGCAAAAATGTTTAGACTTAAAATAGTAATAGCTTTTTTTAATTTGTCTTCAAATATCTGACTTTCTATGTGTTGTTTTGCAGTATAGATGTAAACATTTCACTTTTTCTTAATGTAATAAATTTCCTTTTTTTTCCAGAATAATCCACGGAGACCATATTACTGATGTTGTGGAGTGTCTTAGTTTATGCCTGATCTTGACTTTATTTTTAATAATGTAACATTTTCCACAGCTCTAAAGTTCGAAATGGAAACACCAACACTGTTCAAAACTGTAATACCCGTTGTCTGTATGAAAAGGTAGTGAGTAAAGTCGGTTCATTCGCTTACTTTAAACCTATTTTCTTACAAGAGAATTCAATTCTTCTTTTCCTACGTTGGTTCATTTCTGGCTACATTCAAATAAAGGCTGTTACCACCTTCAACACTTTTACACTGTATGATGATTTTGTTTTTACTCTTTATATTTACATATACTTGGTTCAGTGTATTTTGTTGAAAAGTATAATGGTAATACTCTGTTCACTCTGCCATTTTCTAACATTTCCAAGACATCTAATGCTTTTTATCATTTTCCATATTTCCATAAACCATCCATTCATGGCAGCGCTGGATATAGAGATGCAGATTTTCCTCCTTTCAGTAAGTACTTCAGTATTATTTCTAAAAGCCTGTGGTCAGCAGAGAGTCAAAGGGCAGAGTCAGTCAGGCTCAGGCAGCGAGTGGTGACGAGGACGACAGATCAGTGAAATGAGACCTTCAGTTTTCCATTCCCTGGGGTTATTTACATGGGATAAATATAACTCCAAAATCTTAGCAATAAGCAAAAACCACACTGGTGTTGGACACAGCATCAATCAGATGTGAACTCAACCACAGCAGTAAGGAAATCAAGGGCTGGGCTGGTTAAAACTGTTTAGGATGGTTTAGGAAATTGACTTCTTTTTTTCCCAATATCCCGTGGTTTTGGTGATATCTACAGTGTATGTTGTCCTACATGCTGAAACTGGAATAGTGAGATGAGGTTTATTCAGGGTTGCAATATGCTGAATTAACCTAAGTTTACTTTGAGTGATTTTGTCTAAGAAAAACAAATCACAATTTTGTACATCTTTGTACTGTGTGTTTTAAATTAAGTGGTTTTAAAATGGCAGAAATAACAGGTTGAGAAGACATATTTTACTATGCATGATGCCTAAGTTGAAGGATGCAGCTGAGATATTCAATGGGAAATAACTACTGTAGATTTGTAATGAACGCTTGAAAAAATGTTAAGCAACTGTAGCAACAAAATATACATACACCCCCATGAAGAAGTAGTGTGTAATTCTGTCAAACAAACGACGCCAATAGTCATATAATTTGGGATTGAATGTATGACAATCGTGCTCTTTAACTATTTCTAAGTTTGATAAATAATAAACATTACAAAGATACAATTGATACAATTAAAATCATAGCTCGAAATGTCCCTCGTAACAGGTTACATTAGTCAGTGGGATTATATTTCTCTTCCCATGTACATTACCAGGAGAGTGAGGGCCCTCGTGCGGCCACTTCGAGCATTTTTTGGCTGCTTTCTCGTCAGTCTGCATGTCTGCGAATTGTGCCAAAGGGAATTACCCACGGTGCATAGCGTGTGAGTAATAAACTAATGTGAAACATGAACGATACCAGAGTACACTGACTCCAACCTCAAATTTTACACATCCATCTGTCCCACAAAAAGAAATTCAAACACTTTGAAAGGAAACTGTAGCCGTTCTTTGATTTGGATATTTTTCAGATGTAATATTAATTTTATTTAGTATGACTTATTTTTTATCTTTAAAATGATAGTCAAATAGTCACTTTTTAAAAAATACTAATTGTTATAAAAAATATTTTTTTACATTATTTATCATCAAAGTCCCTGATTATCAGGTCTATACGCGACATGAATGGGTCTTTAAAGAAATGCCAAAATATTAAGATGCCATTTACGCACTGTGCAAGAAATAATAATAATAGTAGTAAAAAAACTAATTATGAGAAAAAACTAGAAGATGCTAGAGAACGGTCAATTCGCTGATTCGGTCTTTAGAGAACAAAACTTTGATTTTACGCAGTAACGTATGGGCTGTCAGTTGCTGCGAGCTGGGGGGAGGTAAACAAGATGGCGACAACCTGAGAGGCAAGAGTAAAACGAAGAGTCAGAAAAAAATTACTCATATCCTGCAGGACCTATTTTGAAGATTTGTTTACCGTGGACCTCGACCTGAATAGGAATTTAAGGCTGAAGGGAAACGAGATTAACGCAGACACAGGTGAGAGACGGGGTTTAGTTATGATAACTAGCTAGCTATTCGCAATTTACATGGAATCTGAGCGGCAGTGCTAGCCAGTGGAACTCCGGTTAGCCGGGACTGTCGGGATCATTTTAATTTTGCTGGATGTCGGAGTAATGTCGCTGCTCCCTGGGGCTATTACAGCGCAATCCGACAGCTATGACTGCCTCGTTGTTTTGAAATGCTGCACCGGCAGTTGAAGCGAAGTTGGCTAACGCTTATGTAAAGGCACGGTAAAGTTGGCTCAGCTAACGCTGCAGCCACCGTTAGCTTCATTTGTGTGGAGCCTTGTTTGACTCATCCTCCCAACATCAATTTTTAGGGGGATAAATAATGACGCTGTTCAAATGCCTATTCAAACACCTAAACACCCAAAGCCTACTATTATCACTGACAACCAGCTGGAGACATAGTTTAATGTATTAAGCTCATTCAAGCAAGTGGTAGCTTACCAGCTAGCTCACAAAGATTGCAATGCTATTTCAAATTAAATCATTTTTATTTTATCCTTCATTGACAACAGTGTAAATCGTTTTCAATGTCACATGTGAACCCAGTGCGGTGTGAAGTGTATGTAAATATATTTTTCAAGGAAAATACTTAGAATTAACTGCTCTGTCATTGTATTGGTGTAACCTGCAGCTCTCTGTGTTAATATTTTTCTTGCCTTTTCTGTTGTTGAGGGCACATCACAACTGAATTGATTACCAACACGAAATAAACATAGTAGGTTTCAGTAATACAGCTTAGCAAGCTGCCATTAAAGCCCCAAAACAAAGAAGAGTGAAATGTGTGTTTAATGTTTTGTTGTTGTGTTGTTGATCAGTGCAGGCAACATCACTTAGGCTTATCCTGTTGTGATTCTCTGTCATAAAGCGTACATCTAGATCACTGCAGATTGACCCACGTATTTCCCTTGGCCCATGTAAAAAAATGAAGTGAATTAGTATAAAGGTATAATTCAGTTATGCAGTTTGTTTTCAGCGACTCATACATAATTTTCATTTGTTTGAGAAATATTGAGGTATTGAAATTAAATTAGTGTCAGCTCTTCTGATCTGTTTGGGAGCTTGGGGAGGTGATATTGTCTGTCAAAATGTTTACCAAAGAATGCTTACATAGTTCAGAAATGAGCGAAGGCCATGTGTGTGTTGTCATTAATGTTTGAATGACCCTCTTTTCAGGCACCGACTGTAGGAATCGTGGTGGTATGGAGGACACCTGAGCACGGCCCAACACAGCGGCTGGCTCAGTCCACTGCTCCCCTGGAGCTGGGCTGACTCCACAGTTTGCACTAATACTGCTGCATTTGTTTGGCTTGGGATCTGTGCTTGGATTTGGTCCAGTTCTTCACACTCTGTGTTCCGAGGAAAACTATGCTGTACAGCATGGAACTTCAACAAAAGTGCTGTGCTGCACAGCCTTAAAGGAAGACATCCACCTAAGGCAGAAGTGATATAGAGGTAATCTGCAGGAGAGAAGACTTTAGAATTAATTCTTTCCACCATGCTCAATAGAAAACAGTGACTGTAGACTTTAATGTTCCCCAATCCCCAATGCTCAGCCCTAATGTTTACAAATTAATCCCAGTGTCCTTCCTTAACCCTCAGACATGATTTTGCCTATTGTATTCATTATTCTCTAAGTTGGCCCTATTCCATATTTTGGAATCAAACTATACAGAGGGAGGTTGCCAGGAGGTTTCTCTCTGTTACATCGGCAGCTGTAGCTATTTGCAGACCTTTTCGCACAGAGGAATAATCTGTGGCTGCTGAACTTTCAGTCATGAGTACCGGGGAGCTGCATCACTTGGACTATGAAAATGAACTGATGGAAATGGATACTTTTATTCACCGCATTGACTCTACAGAAGTGATCTATCAGCCCCGGAGGAAGAGAGCAAAGCTGATAGGAAAGTATTTAATGGGGGATCTGCTGGGAGAGGGCTCCTATGGCAAAGTAAAAGAGATGCTGGACTCAGAGACACTTTGTCGCAGGGCTGTCAAGATACTGAAGAAGAAAAAGCTGAGGAGGATTCCTAATGGAGAGGCCAATGTAAAAAAGTAAGTTTTTGTCACCTTGGATTTCAGTCCATATTTTTTATTGCTGTGATGTTTCAGTCAAATAGTTTACTTATTCTATTCACAACATTCACACTTTAAATAATCCTAAATAAATCATCTCAGTCAGTCTGGGAAATTGTCTCTAAGTTCATCAGTACACTAACCGGCCATAAGATGATAACTGACAGACGTACTTAATGTTATGATTATTTTGAATTTCCATTGCACCTGTCACGGGGTGGGATATATTTTGCAGAACAGGAACCTTGCGCTATCAAAGTTGATGCATTAGAAGCAAAATAAAAATAGCGATTAGAAGATTTGAGCGTGTTTGATAAAGGCAGAGCTATGATTTCAGCACCACAGTCTAACCCAATGTTAAACACATGGACTATAATCAGACATTGTTTCTTGCCGCCCGGCAGGTTGAGACACTTACTTTAAACACTGATTTAATTGTTTTTCTGGTTAAGGTTGTTATGGAGGCGATAATTAGGTTGTGACAAGGCACTTCTGTTTAATGTGCAGAGTGGAAACCCAGGTAACTTTTTCTTTTATCAGTGGTTTAAGTCTTGATTTGACTGACTTCCTTTAAGTGTCTAAACCTGTGTATTGTGACTTGTGTCAAAACGAATGCGACTTCAAATCACACTGTAGTTTATTTAATATTACTGCAGTCATCAGCCTGTTCCAATTATAGATAAGGGTTTAGAAAGCTGTCAAAATTAATTCACACAGGGGGAGAAGAGTGGAAAGACGTCCCTTTTCAATGTAGTGTAAAATAGAGCAAAAGAACAACCAGAACCAGAAAAGACACAAAAGGAACACATTTGTTACCACACTTGTACGTTGTCCCATATTCTAAGCATTGGCCACCAATATTGGCAGTCTTTTTATATATAAGAACAAATTGTCAATTTTAGTAAGACACTCCTCAGTCCAAGAACTGTTTCACTGAACTGCTCAGACCACACCATGCAGTTGAGCTGTCATTTACATGTGGCCTCTTATTCACGTATGCGCAGCTTCCATGATTCATACTCTGTTTTCCTTTTAAAAGGATTGAAATTTTCTTGCTCTAAATTATGTACTTTTTGGAAAATAGAGAACTAAAAACCAGTTACTATAAAAGACCATTATGACCTACTCTTTTGTCACAGTATCAAACATTCTTCTGTAAAAATGTTCCTCCTGTCCAGTCATGTTATTTTCACACCGGTGCATCACAACAACTGAGTCATGCTCCCTGAGGCGTGTGTCTGCATGGCTCCCCCTTAATAATGAATGAGAATCTGTTATACGTCATATATGTACGCAAGACAATGTTTTGGTAGCTATTTATATTCAGAAGTCACATCCTACATAGACAATAAGCAATAAAACCCTAAATCGTAGGACTTTTCTTGTGAAAACAGTGGAATTTTTTTGTGTCCGTTTTAAAGATGGCTGAGATTCAGCATCTTGTCAACAGCTGCAGATTTCCCCCCAGTGTCTGTGCAGAAAATAATTAAAGTGAGGCCTGACTGACTCATAGTTGGGGCCATTTTAAGCATGTGCTTCGCTGAGATAATGTGAAGTGTAAAGATTACTAACTGAAGGTAGAGGCTGGATGTAAGCAGCAGGTCGAGAAAGAACAATGACATATAGAACAACAGTTTTGCAATAGACTAATCATTAGACATTATACTGTAATTCAAGGAAACTAAAATTATTATTTTTATATTTTTCCTTTCTAGAGAGCATAATACAGTTTGTGCACTTTCAGTGAAATTTTTAATTTAGAGACTTTTTAGAATGATCTCCAGCCTACAAATGCAAGAGACCATTACAAATTTAGTGAAATCATGGCTATGGCAAGTAGAAAACAAAATTTACTAAATTAATCAACATAATTATAGGCTCATGTAACTCAGCATTAGACTGAATGCTGTAAGAGTAACAGTAGCTATCACAAAACAGACTCCGCTTGCAGAATCCCATGACCTCATTGGTCTCTTCTGACGTAAAAAGTCATCCTCTGTTTCTGTGTATTAGCTTTTTTTTTATTATTATTTTTATCAGTTACTTTTGGTTGTGAGTGTTTTTTTGTTTTTTCAGCCAGAGCAATCTAGATCTGTGATCCTGTGAAAGTTTGTCATAAGACCCCCAGCTTTGCCGATAGCCTCTCTGTTCAGCATTCTTGTCGGTCCAACTCTCCTCTGTTTTCCAGAGAAGCTGTGCAGACGGGTGTGCTTATACGGGCATTGACTGAGTAATCGCACTTCTGTTTCTACAGCAACCACTCAAAAACACGTGCCCTTGTTTGGAATGACAGGAGGGCACACAGACATGCAAACATAGACGGACAGCTGAGAACTAGTCCCAGTCACTAGACCGGCTCATTGGAGATGCAGTGTTTGATATAAGTTATCTGTAGTTCCTCTGAGTTCCCTCAGCCGTCGTATCACTAAGTGATTAAATCCTTTTAAGCTCTGCAGTCCACGGGCCTTGAAAACACAATATCCATCTGGGCACTTTAGAAGAGAGACTGCAGAGAGACTGCAGCAGTAACGGAGCCTTCAGTGGCAGCGCTGGTTTCTAATTTGAAGACAACAAGCAAAACACACTTACTGCTAGGCCTATGGATTTGAATCCACAAGATTTTCTCAAAGAAAATCCAAGTCTGTGTTTCAGTATGTCCTGGTATTCATTTTGGTGCTATATGTCATGGCTGATCTAATTGCTTTATTAACAACTACTGAATACTGAATTGGTTTGTATTTTGTCAGTCTTTTAGTACTTTTCACAGCAATATCAAAGATTATGTAACATTCTGCTCATTGCTTCTTTGTGTTTTCTTTTTGTTTTCAGAGAGATTCAGCTGCTAAGAAGACTCCAGCACAAAAATGTGATTCAGCTGGTGGACGTCCTGTACAATGAGGAGAAGCAGAAAATATATCCACTTTCTTATATAAACGTTTCTCTGACAAAAGTGCAAATTAAGTGTTTTTTTTAATGATTTCTGTTGGTAGTGAAGCTTTTTATGACTTTTTTTATTGTTAGCCAATAGCTCTCTCTCATTGATTCAAATTATTCAGTGCAAATCCCCCTTGACTCCTGACTTACGTATATGGTGATGGAGTATTGCGTTTGTGGGATGCAGGAAATGTTGGACAGCGTCCCAGAGAAAAGATTTCCAGTATTTCAAGCTCACGGGTAAGGCTGTTCTTTCTCTCCTTCTCCCTCTCTGCCCCCTCCCTCTCTCATTCCCTCTCTCCACTCTCTTCCTATTACTCCCTCCATCTGCTATTTTTAGCTTGAACTTATCTGCAGCCTTTGCTCCATGTCCAAGTTTAGGTCCCAGACCTAACAGCGGAGTCTCTACTGTAAAATAACTGGCGGTGGATTGTGTTAATGTGTGGTCGCTGCAGAAAACACCACCCAAGATAAATCACCACGTGTGATAAAGGCTTTTAAAGCTGTAGTAATAAAATATCCTGAGATACTGATTGTCATCTTGGTTTATTTCTCTCTGCAGGTACTTTTGCCAGCTCTTAGATGGCCTTGAATATTTGCACAGCCAGGGAATAGTTCACAAAGACATTAAACCAGGAAATCTGCTGCTGACTACAGATGGGGCCCTTAAAATCTCTGACCTGGGAGTAGCAGAGGTGAGCCTCTCAAATCAGATTCGTTCACTTCATTCACAGCTAAGCGCAGCCACTCTTTATGACCGTTGTGTTCTGCGTTTTTCAGGCCCTTCATCCGTTTGCAGAGGACGACACATGTCGCACCAGTCAGGGCTCTCCTGCCTTCCAGCCCCCAGAGATTGCTAATGGACTGGACACCTTTTCAGGGTTTAAAGTAGACATTTGGTCTGCAGGTGTAACACTGTGAGTCCCCACTACTAAATTCATAGCATTTTAAGGACTGTATTTCAGACCCTGGCATTTGACACCTACCTCCTTCTATTCAGATACAACATCACAACAAGTCTGTATCCATTCGAGGGCGACAACATCTACAAACTATTTGAAAACATTGGAAAAGGAGACTACACTATTCCTGAGGAGTGTGGACCGCTCCTCTCAGACCTGCTCCGAGGTGAGTGTGCAGAGCTCAAACACTCAGACTTCACTGCCAAGATGCTAACTTATACATGAATTAACTTAACCAAACTACGGTAATTAGTCTCTTCTTCACGGTGTTACCTACACATGTATAAACAAACAATATATGTGTTTAACATTCCACACTGATTAGCTTAATTAAAGTTAAACTGGAGAGCAAATTCCAAGGAAATCCCTGGTACAGTGGCAGCTGTGATCCTTTCTGAATGTCCAGCAGGTGGTGCTGTGATACAGAGCACAGACGCTGCGAGTTTTTTGAGTAGGGAAGTTTCCTCCGAATTGTAGAAACCCCTCCAGCCGCTGACGTAGGTTCCATTGATCCCCAGCCAGCAGTAGAATAATAAACACATCATAGTGAGGTATTGGTTTTCCTGTGTGGGATGCTGGGAGAATGCTGATGGAGAGACAGAGGGTGGATAAACAGATAGACAGGCAGAATGATAAGGTAATCTGGTTTACACCTCCTAAGATAGATCCTTTTTTCACAGCATCAGTCCAAAGTGCAGTTTTGTCCTCTGGTGGTGTTTACTAAACCCACGGTGCAGTCAGTTTGCATCAACATTTCAATGAATAGCTGTGGAGAGAAGGTGCTGTGAATACCAGTGAACAGACTTCATCAAATGTGCGACCACGAACAGGAAATACTCATTATGTTGCTGTTCTAAACCATCGAGCATCTGCACCTTCGCTATGTATGATTGTGTGCGTGCGTGCGTGTGTGCCCGTGCGCGTGTGATGACGCAGCATTTGAGAGCTAGCCCCTCCATAATTACACAGTCTAAAATAAGCCCAGCGCTACAAAAGGTGTCCTTTAGCAGGCACAGCACTACTATCAGCAGTCTGCATGCTGTCGTCCTCTGTCCTACTGTGAGACATTTACATTATTAGGTGTGGATCAGTGCTGCATCACCACTGCCTTATCACTCTGGCACTTAGCATTTCTCACACTCAGCACATACTAACACGCACACACACATTCTTTGTTGCTTTAGAACAGCTGTTAGTTTCTCCTCATTTTCAGGATTTTCCGACCCCACATTATTGACAGTTGAAGCTTCACAGGAAGCCTGACTCACTGTGTCACATTTCCTACTGCTGGTTAGACCACGTTGGATGCTTCGTGAATTGTCAGGTTAATTGACTGAATTTCAAATGAATGTGTTTCATCAGGAATGCTCGAGTACGACCCAGTGAAGAGGTTTTCCATACAGAACATAAGGCAACACAAGTGAGTGTTTCAGTGTGTTATATTTTAATAACTTGTGTCAAAGTAATGACGGTTGAACTTTGTTGGGTTTTTTTTGTACCTATGACTGTGGACATGATGATGTGGAGTCTAGTGCACCAACTTGTTGACCAACTGGTGACTCATCAGCTACTAAATAATTCAACATTTTTGTCTGTATTTTTTTTCTGTGGTTTCATCTAAATGTTTTTCCCTGCTCCTTTGTTTTTGCTCTGTGAAGTAGGAATGTAAAGATTTTAAGACCTTTTTTACTGTTCTTTCTTTATTTTGTTGAACTAATACTTAGGTCAATTACTTAATTAATATTTAGAATTAATTTAGCATAATAGTCTGGGATATTTGGTGGACTCATATTCATCTTCTCATCTCTCTCTGCCTCTGTCAGCTGGGTGCGTAAGAAACACCCCCCATCTGAGCCCCCTGTGCCCTTCCCTGCCAGCGCGGAGAGCAGGGACCCTTGGCGGAGCATGACTGTGGTGCCCTACTTAGAGGACCTACATGGCTACACGGAGGAGGATGATGACGAACTCTACGATGGAGAGGATGAAATCATCTACACTCAGGACTTCACAATGCCAGGTGAGCTGCAGCCACTGCTCCTGTTTTGTTGTTGTTTTTAAAGTGCACTTTTTATTTGAGCTCTCTGTCCTTTCACTCAAAATATCATTACTAGTGCTGTGCAACATAAGGGGTTACTTAAAAGACACGCATCTTTGTAGTAAATTTCAGTAAATTTGTAGTGTTTTTCCGATGGCTGTGACTTTGTTCATACTCACTGTTTTTTTTACTATTCTAATTAATTCCAACTCAATTATCTGATCAAGTTCTACTTTCTCAAAGTGGAAAAACACAAATATTTGCTGATGATTACAATGACAATTATATATATATATTTTTTTTTTTTTTTTTTTTTGTGCTACTCTTGACATTTTTTCCAATTCTTTCAGATCTTTTCTCTGTTGCTAGGTAACAGCTGGCACTAATAAGTGCAGTATTCAGGTTTTTTGTGTCGAAACATGGTGTTCCACATGAAAAAAAATGGCGCTGCAGAACATGAATGAAGTGCTCTAAAAATAGATCGAGTGATTGAAATGGCTGTGCTGTGGGCGTATGAATGGCACCGAGGCTTGAAGAGAGCCTGGTTTGAACACCATGACGTGTTTATGTGGAAAAAGTTACGGCTTGACCTGCGCTTCGTTTCTTTATTTTAGCAGCACCCACATCTGACATTACAACAATGTACGACTTAACATTTACATAACATTTCTCTTAGAGTTGAGGTTCTGTCTTATTTGGACCAGACTGTTGATTCGATGCAGAATTTAATAATAAATAACTTAAAATGTTAAAAATGGAATGGAGGCAAAAACAATGAAGTCTACCTTCTTATTTTTTTTCCTCAGCTATCCTCCTGTTATTGTATGTGGCTGTGAAGAATTTCTTATTCTTATCAAAGCTGACATTTTGCTGGTGTTGCTAAAAGAAATGTGCTCTTTAACAGTTCTTTAAAGGAAAACATGTCAACAGTTTTCACAGCAGCAGGTCTGGGGTGATTTCCTTTATGCTCACTCATGTCTTTACCTGACACTGGATCAATAACAGCTGCCACGTCAGCTCTTTTGTGGAAGTGTGACCAATTTGTCCTGCGTCTCCATTCAGGACAAGTGACCGAGGATCACCAGGATCAGGGGATCGCCGATCACAGTCCTTCCGTAGCAAAGCCAGTCTGTGTGAATGGAACAGAGAGCAGCGCTCTGAACAGCAAGGCCAAAGCCGAGCGCCGGTCCTCCTCCTCGTCCAACCCGTCACGCAAAGGAGTCTCTGCAGCCAGCAAGATCCGTAAGCTCTCCACGTGCAAACAGCAATGACCTCCTCTGCTGTGTCCTCATCATCAACACACCTGGTGAGTGGCTGTAAATACTGCCTGTATTTCAGGCTTTACTTGACTACTGTGTGACACCTGGTCACAACTAGTGATGCCTGCAGACCGTGTTCTCTTCTCAACTCGTTAATTATACGTGCGCTCTGTGTGGACTTACTTGACTCAATATAGACGTGCAAAAGACGCCATGGTTGAACTGTGCAACAAGTACTCTGATATGAGATAGTCCACCTGGTGACTTCATGAACTACAGATGCTGCTTTCTATTTAAACTTCCATGATTTTATTTATAATGGTTAATACAAATGTCAATAAAATTGTGTATGAATCCAACATTTTCTGAACTAAGAAATGTACAGTGTAGGACTTTAGGTTTGACTTGGCGTAGGTTTCTTGTGTCACGTGCTGCTGCAGACCCTTCTCTGTTTTTTTTAGTGTAAAAACTCCACACAGATGACATGAGAACTGCGCGAGGCTAATGAGGGTCTGACAAGGACATGCAGTGAGCTGATGTTGTTGCAGCAGCAGCATCCTGGTTTACAGCAAGTCACGCAAATCTGAGTGATGGCTTTGTCTTATGGCCTGATCCATAAGACAATCCTGGAATTCTGGCCGACATCAGTCCGATCTGGCTGTACAGAATAGTACTGGACCGCCCTAACTATATTCAGAATGTTTTGTCATGGTCTGGAAAAGTCTCACTCCAGGGAGGGAAATTATAAACATGTCCAAATGAGAGTTTGTTTTGGCACCAAATGTCCTGGTGATGGAGATCAGGAGGAATGTTAGATGAATTTAAAAGGAAGTCTGAGTCCTTCACATTCTGACCGGTGTTGACCTCACATCTGTGAGTGAGTTAAAACTGACTCCCACCAGATAAGACTGAAGGCTGTAATGATACCAGAAGGTTGTTTCAGAAAGTATCATCTGCACTTGTTTTAATCCTATTATAGAGGAGAAAGAGCTTTGTGATTCTCACTGAGGTTAAGAAGAGTTCTGAAATGAAAAGTCCTTTGGTTGAAACATTATAATAAAACGATAACGAAGGCCCAGATAATGCCATTTAAGGGGTAAAATAAGGAGGGATTGCATAAGGCAGAGATCCAGAAATGTACATCAGGCAGAGGGAGGAGGAGGTGGAGGAGGAGGAAGAGGGAAGGAGAATTTCTGTTGATATTCACAAGCAGAGCTGTGACTCACCAGCGCTTCACAAATGCACACATCAGTTTTCTGAATGCAGTCATAACGACTGGATCAGGAAAGGTCCTGTCCTGGCAGGTTTATCTTGATTATTTGCTAACAGGAGGCGATAGTGGAAACTCTTTTATGACACAAATGCACTCGCTAAATGAACAGGTCATCATCCTGGTTTTTCCCAGTTCCCTCCTACGATGTGCTCTTTAAATCTCACACATACAAACCACTCAGGACATTAGGCAGTTTGTCACGGCTGCAGTGCAGAGGAGACGCTGTATATTCATGTGTTGAGTCGATGACTCACCCAGGAGGAGATAAAGTGGACTGTGGGATGTTTGCCTCTCTGCTTTTTTTTTTTTCCATCCAGTGGATTTGTCCTCTCCATTAGCAGCACCAGCGTGTCGCTCTCTTGTTGAGTCCCGTTCGTCACTGATATCTCACGGGAAACCTTTGGCCCGGCTCTACGAGAGCGGCTAAAAATAAAGCACCGTCCGCAGAAAGTTTACATTTTGTCATCTGTCTTTGTCTCCCTAAGGTTTACTTGTCCCTGTCCTGTGTCTGGACTGCTCACTGTTGTGAGAGGAAACCTGCTGACGTTATTACTCCTGTACCTCCTTGGACCACTGGTCTGCCAAGTCTTTTGGAGAACTGTTCTAGGTGACGGAGGAGAAGGACGGAGAGAAATGTTCTTTTATGGCACTGGCTGTGAATTGGTGTTTTTTTTTTTTTTATTTTTTTTTTTTTTTATTTTTTTTTTTTTCTTTTTTTTTTTTCATTTTCTTTTCTTTCTTGCAATTTGGCTCTTTTTAGCCCTTTTCATCCAGTCTCCTCATCCTCTGATCCTCCCTCCTCCCCTTTTGAGAAAACCCAGTGATGCACTGGATATTAAAAACACCATCATCACATACACACCCTTCTGGGTTTTTTTGTTTTGTTTTTTCTTAGAGAACCGTTTGGCCGTTTTTAAGACACATTGTGATGTGTAAAAGAATTAAAGAGAAAAAGATGACATGTTATGAATAATTCTATATTTAAATCTGTGATGAGAATACTTATAGTCCTCTACTACTACCATCATAAAAACTGCATGCTGTACAGAGTTGGAAGGAAGGGAAAGACAGACTGAAGCCTTCAGATCCACTGCTGACCTGTTGGGGAGGATTTTAGATTTCCATTTAGTTTTTTTTCTGTTCCCAATGAATATTTTTTAATTATTATTTATATAAAATATGTCCTAAACTTGCTCTTTTGTTGAATGATCTTTAATGTCTAACCTGGCGTTGAGAGTATGTTTATTTTGCAATACACGGTGAATGATTTATACCCTGTTTTATTTTTTACCTTCTTCCCCCGACAGTTTTTTTTTGGGGGGAAGTGATGATACGGTGTGTCACCGCAATCACCCGGCCTCACTTTTGTCAGATGTGCCGATCACATCAGTGGGAGCTCTGCCTCCGTCTTGCGCAGCCAGGCCCATCATCAGCTCCTCGCTGGGAATAGATCAGAGATCTGTCAGGTGAGTCACCACTCTGAGGGTGGAGGAGAGAGCGGCGCTGCTCACGTCAGTAAGGTCTACAGAGAGCTTCGCTGTTTAACAGCACGCACACACTGCTACAAAAAGAAAGCGAGATGCCTGGTGGTATAAAGACTATTTCAACAGTGTGATTGGTATTTGATGATGATGAAGCTCCTGATGTTGTGTACTGATACTGCGACATGGATGACCAACGTTACTGCTCTTTAAAGTCCAGATTTTCTTGGTTAGGAAAATTGCCATACACTCCGCTTGGCTCTGATGAAAATAAAAATTAATTCATTATTTAGATCAAGGACAAAGATGAAATCAAATACAAAAAAGAACTATGGATGAACTACGGAATTCGGCCCCACAGTCTCCATGGTGACGTCCTACGTCGTAAAAGACATCTGTCCACTCTAGGAATCTCACTACCACAGAATAGATCATTCAGATTGGATTATTTTTCAATCTAAAACTTCTTAAATATAACACTATTTGCTGGGTCTTGAAAAGCAAGATCTGACTTAAAAAACATTTGTGATTTAAATGCAATAAATGAAATGATAATTTACAGGCAGCCATGGGTTGAGTTCAGATATTTTCAGAAAAAATGTGCTTCTTGGTGAAAAAAAAAACTCAGTGGAAACGCATTTTTTAGGCGCTCTATCAATGTCATTTTTAAGTGACTGTTCCTTGTATTTGATTGAATGCAGAGATCGGTGAGTCGATCGACTGCTGCTGTCAGAGTCTCAGCAGCTTTAACTGTGAAAGCCTGACAGGCCGACGTGAGTCACTTGTAGTGACCCTGTCTGTTGTTCAGCTGAAGAGTCCCAGCAGTGACAGAACACTTAGTCCCGTGTCTGCACTGCTGGTTAACAAGGACGGGAAACTAAATGAATTATTAGGACAACACACACACACACACATAAATCAATGCTATGTTGTTTTTATATTCCGAGTATCCCATGATATTTGTACTCGTTTGGTGCTTCAGTCACACACCATCTAAGGATCTGTTTTTTCTCTTACATTTTCATAATTGTTGTCCGTCCTAACAGTAAATACAGACACAGATGCTGTCATGTACACGTGGACCCTCACGGGGATACAGACAAGGACACTTGAGGAGGAAGTAGTTCAAGAAAATGACATTATTGAGTGACAGGAAGTCGATCATTATGGTTCCTCACATCAAAGTGCTCTTCTTGTTAAGTTCAACTGTACAGTATACACACACATGGTTGGGAAAAATGTCAGCATGCTGAAGTCTCACAGTTGAATCTAAAAATAGTCACGTTCTCTAAAGATGGATTTCAAATATCTGAGTCTCTTGTGAAATGTGGATCGTCTGTGTAGTTGCTAATAAAAACATTGAGGGGCTTCACATCTCACAGTGGAATTTTAGGTCTGAATGGAAGCGACTGGCCGTCCACAGAGTATCTGTCCTGTACAATCCATGTCAGAGCATCTTTTTGGAGTAACGGCTGTAATGTTGTCAAAGCCAAAGTCGAGAAAATGATGACGTTGTAAACGATTACCTCTAAGTCCATTGTCTATAGTACAGACTGTGTCCTATCTGGTTGAGTCCTTGGACAGGTGTTAGGTGGGGCTGAAGCCGGGTGAGGCGGTGTGAGACACGGTGAGCACCTGCTCTGACCCTCTCTGGCTGAGCTTTTCTGCACTGCGCAGGCCACCGTAGAGCCTCTCTTCAACAGATTGGACCAGCTTGTCTGAAAGAGCGGCGTATGCCTCCGATAAGAGCACCTGACT